CACTGGTCTTCCCTGAGAAAGAGAACTCACCTGATGGACACGGTGTTAGGTGTTAGGTTTGTAGGTAGACCTTCCTTTTATCTCAGAACTGACTTTCTGTCTTGCACGTGAACGCACGGTGACACCGAGTGACGCACGGCGAGCCGCGCCACGTGAGGTAGTAGCACGAGGTCTCGGGAAGGCCGTGGTGAACACGTGTGCGCACGCGCAGGTGGCTGGACCGGAGCGAGACTGGGTGTCCTGCACCGCCAGCCAGCCGTTTGCCCGGAAGCACCGACCCCTCTGGGCCCGCTGCTCTCCCAGGTCCACGGGCCCGCGCACGCTTCAGTGAAGCAGAGGGGCCTCTGATGACGGTCCAGTGGGGGGTGGGGGGGTGGTCCTCACCTTTTTTGTTTCAGTGATCTCTTTACCTGGAAAAAGGCACACATGCACGTACAGAATGTTCCATACGATCTCAGAGGATTCGTAGACCCCCCCACCCCCACCCCGTTCCCCAGTCAAGACCTGAGTGAGCGGTCTGATTGCATTTTACAGATGAGGAAAGCAGGCCCGGAGCCGGGTCGGTGACTTCTCCGTGACACTCGCGTTGTCCCTGTCACGCCCCTGCCAGCGTGCCCAGGGCCTGCAGTTACGAGGTCCTGGAGTGCGATTGTGCTGCACGAGCCAAACCGCGGGGCAGTGACTGACCCTGTGTGTCCTAGAGCACACGGAGTAACGGACCTAACACCCAGTTTGAAATCCTAAACAATTTTTTTTTACCCTAATGAAGAGAAGTTATTTTAGTTGATTTCTAAAGGAGAAATGCTTACCTACGTGAGCCACAAACTCAAACTCTTGAACGTAAGAATTTGTATCAAATTAGTTTTCTTGCCTAGATACCTAACCAAGCAAACCATTTTCCACCTTGAAATGGTATCTTTTGTCTTCGTCTCACCACGTAGACTGGGGTCATCTGTTCCTCCGATCTGGCTGTACAGACCAGGGGGCCGGGAGGTGACCACTCATTGATGGGACGGGGCTGTCTGTGTTCGTGTGCGTCTGGACATTTCACCTGATTTCAAGGTTTGGTCACCTTAGCAGACCGGGGGAAAAGCGGGGTGTGCGGTAGAGTCCACGCAGCTCACGCTCAGCACCTTGCATGGGGTGACCCCAGGAGGGTTTCTGGAAGCAGCAGCTACAGCCCAGGGCACGGGCGGGAGACCACGGAGGGCCATGCGCCCCGGCCTCTCCTGCCTTAGGAAGGCTTTCTCTCGCCTTAGGAAAGTGGTTCCAGCCCGGGAGGCAGCCTGCGGGGAGAGGAGGCACTGGCGGTGCGGTGCGGGCCGCCGGCCGCTGCGAGGAGGGAGCCGGGCCCCTGCAGCCCCTTCCTTCCAGCTCCTCCAGGCCTTCTGGAAGCTGGCGGGCGGGGAGCCTGCGGCAGCGTTAAGTACAGCTCCCCGGTTGGGGACATCAGCACAGGGTAGGCCTGGGGGCACCTTTCCCGCAGAGGCCGGCGCCCAGGCGTCCCCGTCACACCACGGATCCCTCTTTGCTCGTGCGCACCTGACGGGGCCGGTGGGCCGCCCGGGGACGTGCGCGGTGGCCCACTCCTCCGTGTCCCTGCCGCCTGCCTAGCGCATCCCCTGAGCAGGAGTGCATGGAAACGGGGCAGCTGTTGCCCTCCAGGCTGGCAAGGGGCACGCGAGCGGCAGGTGGCGTGGGCTCTGCTCAGACGCGCTCCTGGCTCAGGGTCGGCAAGTCAGCAGGCGGCGGCTGCCGGGCCCCCGGGGACTTGGGGGGCTTGGTGCTGCGTCATGCACTTCACCTCGCGGTGGTAATCTTTCCACTGGCTCCTCTCTGTCCTGCGTGCAGGGTCCTCGTCACCTTGGTCATTCCCTGAGGGGAGGCTGCCCACCCCCCCCCCCCCCCACTTCTAGTCACGTTGCTTACACTTGGCGCCTCTCTGGTTCCGCTGTGTCCTGCTTGTGATGCGCTGAGCAGAGCTGAATTCGGGGTGAGGACACCCTCCCACTGTCTTGTTCCCTCTTCTCGTGCTGGGCCATCCCTGGCGTCCACGCCGCACGAGTGCCGTGGACAGCAGCCGGGCCCTGGGGGTGTGGCGTGCTGTAACCGCATGGGGCCCGGGCTGCTGATGTTTGTCGCCTCCACTCCCACGGGTGAGCCTGTGGTCCTGGGGAATTCTCGTCCATCCGTCTTTACATGATGTATTCTTCTAAGTAGAATTGCCCTCTCAGGAACACATGTATACATTGTCGAATTGCCTTCCAGAAAGATCTTCCCAGTTTTCAGTTAACCAAGCAATTCCTATTTCTCTCTATCTTTGGTAAGAAAAAAGTAATAATCTGCATGTATTTTAATGTTTACCAAATTGTGAGAATATAAGGAAGATATTTTCTAGAGAGTCGTTGTGTGTTTGTTATAATGACTGCCCAAATGATTTTTTTTTTTTTAATGTTTTTTTTTATTTATTTCTAGGAGAGAGAAACAGCGTGAGCAGGGGAGGGTCAGAGAGAAGGAGTCACAGACTGAAACAGGCTCCAGGCTCTGAGCTGGAAGTCAGCACAGAGCCTGACACGGGGCTCGAACCCATGAACCGCAAGATCATGACCTAAGTGAAAGTCGGAAAGTCGGACGCTTAACCGACTAAGCCACCCAGGCGCCCCCCAAATGATTTTTTAAAAACCGTGTCCCTCACGGGGATGCCTGGATAGCTCAATCGGTTAACCGCCTGATTTTGGCTCAAGTCATGTTCTCAGGGTTCATGGGTTTGAGTCCCACACAGGGCTCCATGCTGACAGCTCAGAGACTGGAGTCTGCTTCGGATTCTGTGTCCCCCTCTCTCTGCCCTCCCCCGCTCATGCTCTGTTTTTTCTTTCTCTCTCTCTTTCAAAAAAGTAAACATTCAAAAGAAATTATTGCATTAAAAAAAAAAATAAACAAAAACGTGTCCCCCTCAGTACTGATCTGTCTCTTGCTGGCTTAGGTGCTGATTATGTTCACAGCGTAGGCCAGGGAGGCTCAAGGTCCCAGAATAGCCACCTGGCCTAGAGACTGGCCAGGGCCATGCACGAGAGGCCAATCACGGCCAGTCTAAAAGATTATGAGCAGGGGCCATGTGTGCTAGAAGCTTCTACATTAAACTGGATGACACAGAAAAGGCGTGCCTTCCAGGCTGGCCCCTGGTTCTGGCGTCCGGGGTTCGGGCTCAGCAGAGGACAGAAGCCGAGGTGGGGCGGGGGAGCGCAGCTTCGGGTCATTGAGAAGGTGCTGTTCCAGGCGCTCTGCCGGGCTCCTCGAGGACAGCTGGACATGCGCGTGTGACCATGAGCCGGGTGGGCCTGGTGGCCAAGCAGCAGGAGTGGGGGGTGGGGGTGGGTAAGCGCCAGACATGCTGCTGCGGAAGAACTGGCGAGGGCTGACGGCTCTCAGGGCGAGGGAAGGGAGGCTGCCGGGCGGCGTCCGGGAGTCCGGCGGCCCGCAGGGCCCCGGCTAGGCACGCCGATGAGAAGCAGCCCGGGAGGCCCGCGGTGCAGGGCGCTGGGCCAGCCTGGTGGGCCGGGCCTCGGCACCCCGAGTCGCTGGGCCGTCGGGGGGGAGGCAGGAGGAGGGTCAAGGATGCGGAGGGCCCCTGCTCTGCACAGCTGCCTCGGTGCAGTCCGGCAGACGTTCACGCGGCACCTCCGTGTGCCAGGGAAGATCCCTGGAGCTGGCCGTGCCTGAGCTGCGCCGTGGAAGCTGCTTGCACTCAGTGGCCGGCAAGCTTGTGCTCTGGGCGCTGCGTTCCCGGCAGAGAGCAAGGCAGCCCAGGCCCCATTCCGTGGAGCTGGCGTTGCAGGGGGAAGAGTGAGGACTCGCTAGGGGGATGTGGCCTGTGGTGGCACGTGTTTGAGGCAGAGGCAGTTTTGCTGAAGGAACTAGAAGGGAGCTTGGTCTTGCTGGAGCTTCAGGGGTGAGCAGGGCTTGTCGGTAAGGCTGCACAGGTACCGGAAGCTGGAGTCTGAAGTGGTCATGGAAGTGTTTGTATGTCGCCCTGAAGCCTGGGCTTTTGTTCCGTAGTCCAGTAGGGAGTCACCGGGGAGCTGTGAGAGGTGAGGGCCCTGGTGGGGCAGAGGGCGAGGGGGCTGGCTGCCAGATGGGGTGCGGGAGGGCCAGGGAAGAGGGCGTGACCTACTGGGGAGGTCGGGACTCTGGACTAGGGCACTTGGGGCACATTAAAAAATTTTTGTTTTAAGTTTATTTTGAGAGAGAGAGAGAGAGAGAGAGTAAGTGCACATGAGTGAGGGAGGGTCAAAGAGAGAGAATCTCAAGCAAGCTCCACACTCTCATTGCAGAGCCTTACACAGGGCTTGAACCCAGGAACCGTGAGATCGTGACCTGAGCCAAAATCAAGAGTTGTTTAAGTGAGCCACCCAGGTGACCCCTTTCCACCACATTTTATTTATTTATTTGCTTACTTATTTATTTATGTTTATTTTTTGAGAGAGAGACTGTGTGAGCAGGGGAGGGGCAGAGATAGAGGGAGACACTGAATCTGAAGCAGCTCCAGGCTCTGAGCTGTCAGTAGAGCCCTGGCGTGGGGCTCGAACTCAAGAACTGGAAGATCATGATCTGAGCGACCACCAGACACTTAATCCACTGAACCTCCCAGACGACCCTAGGGTACATTTTAAATAAACGGATTCAAGAAAAATTTATTCAGTGTGTGTGTCTACTAAATATACTTGGAGATAAATCTTGAGCTCATACCTTACACAAATAATTCCAGGAGGGAGCTTCGGGAAGCATGTGGGAGAAGTCTCTGTGGCCTGGAGGTCGGCAGGTACCTCTCACCCAGGACCGCAAGAGTGACACACCGGACTCCGCGGAGATCAGGACTTGTCTTGCATGTGCATGTGAGCGCGTAGCATCGAGCGAGTGAAGAGGCCGCGGAGTGGAAGGGCGCCTGCGGGCCATGTGGTCGGGCTGGCTCTGGCCCCGATGCAGAGCCCTCCTGACAGATCAGTGAAAAAAGACTGACAGGCTCAGGTGTGGAAAAATGGGCAGAAGGTGGTACCCAAACGGCCAAAGAGCATTTAGAGACATGCTTCATCTCCTTAATCTTTTTTTTTTTTAATGTTTTATTTATTTCTGAGAGAGAGGGAGACAGCGTGAGCAGAGGAGGGTCAGAGAGAGAGGGAGACACAGAATCTGAAGCAGCTCCAGGCTCCGAGCTGTCAGCACAGAGCCCAACGTGGGGCTCAAACCCACGAACTGTGAGATCAAGACCTGAGCTGAAGTCGGATGCTTAGCTGACTGAGCCACCCAGGCTCAGCCCCTTCATTTCCTTAATCTTAGTGAAGGCAGAGAGAGGCCCGTACTTGGTCCGGGGGGGACCCAGTGCCTCCTTGTCCTGCCAGGGCTGCACATACACGGACCCTGGGACCCCGCCGGCCGCCCTGGGCATGTGCGTACACGTGGACACATGGACGTGCGTGCACCAGGAGACGAGCGTAGAAATGCTCATGGCAGCAGGATTCGGAATTGCCGGAAACGAAGTCACCCAGATGTCCATCACGCACAAGGCGCACAGTCATTGTGGTCTGTTTGGGCAGTGGACCAGCAGACAGCAGTGAAAACAGATGGATTGTGGACTGGTCCTACCAACGTGCGAGTGAAGTCACATGCAGAGGAGTATGTACGTTTGAATCCGTGTGTATGACATTCAAATTGAGCAAAAGCAGTCTGTTGTGAAGGGTCCAGCCAGGGACAGGTTTGCAGAGGGGATGGTGACCAGCGGGGCTGGCAAGGGGTTGGGGCGGCGCTGCCCCTGTGATTCTCCAGCAGGGGTTAGGCACGCTGGGGTGCTTAGGATGCTTTGTCTTTAGCGTTTGGTCTTATTTTAAAAAATGTAAGGTTAACAAGAATAAAAAGATGGCCTTTAACTTGAGGCTTAGAAAATGGTAAAACTGCTCTTGGGGTTAGTAATAACAGCAGTATAAGGAAAGGGCGGGGGGAATCCCCGTTTTTCACAAGTTTGCTCTACAGAGGGCTTAGCTTCGCACCTGTTCTCACGAACCAGGAGGAATCTCGGAGAGGATTCCTGCTTTTAGGGGAGAAAAGGTGAGTGTCTGGTTGGTTCTGCAGCAGGCCCAGCCGAGGAGGCGTGTGCCTGCGCAGTGTCCGCACCCGCGCCTCGGCCTCCGGCCGCCACAGCTCTGAGCTGTGTCCCTGACACTGGGCTTGACCGCTACTGATCTTGTGCACGTTAGCGAAATGGGTCCTGGGGGGCAGAAAAGCACAAGAGAGGTGGTTTTGGGTCTGGGAGCACGCAGAAGTTTTCCCATGTAAGTTAATGGTAATTGCTTCTTCCCTTTATGCTGTTAGGACTTAACTGCAAGCCCTGGGAATGCTGGGCTTGCAGATAGTGGGTGACATTTGTATTAAGAAACAAATCAGTTGTATATATGTACGTATGTATGTATGTATGTACATTTTAATTATTTTTGAGAGAGAGCATGAGAGCAGGGGAGGGGCAGAGAGAGGGAGACACAGAATCTGAAGCAGCTCCAGGCTCTGAGCTGTCAGCACAGAGCCCGACGCGGGGCTCGAACCCACGAACTGTGAGATCATGACCTGAGCCGAAGTCAGATGCTTAACCGACTGAGCCACCCAGGCACCCCAAGAACTCAGTTTTAAAAGTCTGTTGTTTACAAAAGAGGTTCTCCAGACAGTCTGGAAGTCTGTGGGAGGGTGGTCAGCGTCCTCGTTAGGGAATGTGGATTGTCCGCTGCTGAGCCCACGGCCCGGTTGCACATGCAACAGTAGCCGTGGCAAGCTTGTGGGGCGGAGGCTCGTCTCTGCTAGGTTCAGGCGGTGTGGGGTCAGGGGCTATGGATTTCGGGGGGCCGTTGCCACCTGGGTGAGTCCCGCGGGGCTCCTCGGGTGTTTGGTGATGTGTGCGTGTCCCGCATGGGCCGCCGCCCCGGGACTGGCCTGCGGAGGTGAGAGTGGTTGTTTGAGCGCGTTTAGAACTCCTTCTAGTGGGGACCCGTTGCCGTGGCTGTAGAACAAGCCCTCTTTCCCCGAGTTCACTGAAACAATTCAGTTCTCAAGCTCTGCCGTAGTGAACAAAGAGAGCATCTAGAAAAACTTGACGATAGCAGCAGAAGCATTGGAACTCGCGTGTGGTGGTTTGTCCAGCCGTGTTGGTGTGGTCTGCTCAAGCTCAGACGTGCGTCTGTCCGCGGACTCCGCAATCCGAGATTCCTGGGTACGTGCCCCAGAAAAATGGGTCCGACTGAAAGACGGTAGGGGGTGTTCAGAGGTGCTTGTAAACTGGCGAGCAGCGGGTCTGGCTTTGGCCGACATCCTGGCTCGTGGTCCCTGGACGCAGATCGAGTCGGTGCAGTCGTGCTCCCGGGCATCCTGGCTTAGGACCAGATCGCCTTGGATTTGTGGTTTGTGCCTGGACCAGGAGATGACAAACCCCCGATGGGGAGGCCATGTTCTCAGCCCTGCTCGGTGGCAGCTCTTGTAACGCCCGTTGCAGTACCTGTGTGACTGTGTCAGTGGAGGCCGTGGCTCCCGCGGGCCGCGAGGCATCCCGGGAGCCCCGGTGTTCATCTCCTCCTTGCCCTGATGTGGCAGAGACCCCTGCGGTAGAGGGGCACCTTCCGCTGCCCGCCTTTTCCTCCTGTGTGGATTGGTGCTCCGGGGGCTGAGGGCCTCCTGAGTCTGAGAAGGCTGCTCCCCCAGAGAGGGGGGCCGTTTTATCCATAGTCACCAAACCGGAATACAACCCAGAGGCCTGCGGACAGGTACATGGATGCCTACGGCCCAGCGGCAGGAGCGAGCGGCCGACAGGCCCGCCAAGGTGGGATTGCGCCCTTCCATCCACAGTGTGTGGTTCCACCCGTGGGAAGGGCAGCCGTCAGGCAGAAGTCACTGGTGGCAGAAGGGGGTTCCTCTTGGGATGGGTGTTGACTGGGAAGAGGGGCTCCAGGGGACCTTCTAAGGTAACGGAAGTAGTCCTTGATTTGAGCGGTGCTTACGTCTGTAAGAACTCATGGAGCTCTAAACTTAGGATTTGAGTCCTTCACACATCTCACTGTATGTGTTTGTAACTTAGTTTTTTAAAGTGATGAGAAAACTATGACTACAGTTGTATTTTAAGCGAAGTTTGTTTCACGAGTATTTCTGGAAGTCTTAGATCAGCGCTGTCAGGCCCGGTGGTGTGTCGAGCAGCGTGTAGAGGGTCGCTGGTCCCTTTGGGGTGTAGTTGGGCTTTGTTTGGGAGCCGGGATGGGTGGACACGTAAGTAGCAGGGCGAGAGGCCAGTGCACCCCAAAGCCCCAGATCGGGGACGCTATGAGGTCCCACGGGATGTGTCCCTCCCTCAGCAAGGGCTTCCCCAGAAGGCGGCGCCAGGAAGCTGCAGTCACTGCTGCGAAGAGCCAGTGAGAGCACCGAGGTCACCAGGCAGACTTGCGGAAGCCAGGGCAGCAGCCCAGGGGAGGGGCCGGCTGGGGGGCCCCATCCCGGGTACAAGAACGAGCACCGGCTCGGGGTGAGAGGGTAGGGCGCCTCCCCTTGGTTCCTTGTGCGGCACCTGCCGGCTCTCACCCTGGGGCTGGCACTGGCCACCCCACGGTGCAGGTTGGAGCTCTGGCACGGCCGTGGCTGCCGCGAGCTTTGCTCCATTTGCCTTTAGATCCTGCTGCTCATAAACTACTCTCCAGGAGGTGGCACTTTCAGAAAAGAAAGATCGAGAACATATCTATTCCACCATCTTTCCAAAAACTAGAACCTTTCTATCACCGTGTGTGCATCTCTGGGGTCTGCGTGTGCACACGGGTGCAATCTGGGTGCCTCACCTGCGGGTTCTCAGCCACTTTCCCTCCTCCCAGCAGGTGCTCCGATCCCGGAAGCCTGCCAGCCCGCACCTGGCCCTTCCCAGTGTCCACTGCCCCGCGGCCCCTCTGAGTGCTCCCACTGCGGCCCTTCTCAGTGCTCTTCCTCCATGTGTTCTCTCTCAGAGCTGCCCCCTGCAGCCCCCCCCAGTGCTCCCCCACGGCCCTGTCTCCCCTCCTCAGCAGCCCCTTGTGGTGCTCCCCCCACGGTGCTCCGCCCTGCGGCAGCCCCTGCTCTGACTACAGGTTTTCCCTTTCCCTCTCCGGGTTCATCTGAATCAGAAGCACACGATGCAGAGCCCCGATACGTGCCCTTTGCTCTCATGCGCAGACAGCCAGCGTGTGCCCGACCAGGGGTGGTGTGTTCAGCGGAAGTTTCCAGAGTGGGTACCCGTGCTTGTAGGGTCCCGTGAGGTGCCGGTTCCCAGCATGGGCCCGCCCGCTGGGTCAGCTGATGTAGAGCCCACCCCGGTTTGGCCGGGGCGGGAGGAGTGTGCCCGTCAGGCCCGCAGGCTGCATCCCGCCGACTGCGCTTTGCGCACCCCTGGGTGTGGTCCACGGTCTGCCGAGGCCTCTTCGCAGACGTCTAAGTAGTTCATCTCAGTTTGCAAAGATGCAAAGACTGGGCAGTCAAGCTTTTATAGGAATGTGAAGTGGCACTGGTTCTCTCTAGTTGGCTCCATGCCTGTTTATTTGCTCAGATTGTGTGCAGAAGGCTTTTTGTGAGCATTACGCAGCTTTCCCTGGTCACCCGATGTAGAAGTACCTCTGAAGTTCCCATTTCTGAGTAGTTCACGTTAACATACCCCCCAAACTGGGATGCCAGTTGTACGATCCCTCACGACGTTAGTGCCACCGAGAAGACGTGCCGTCGATGGTGAGACACAGTCCTATTTCAGAGACGCCCGGATGTGGGAAAGTGCGTCTTCCAGTCGGTCCTGTGCAGTTGCTACTTTGTATCTGTGATAATGTAACACTTATTTTGTTGGTTCTTTAACGGAAAGGCTCAAATACGTACCGCGGTCGAGAGGATAATGTGATGAACTTCCGGGCGCCCCGTCCCCGGCCGCAGCACATGGCCGTTCTCGTTTCCTGTGTGTCCCCGTCCCCTTTCCCTGGGTTATTTTCAGGCACATCTTAGACCGCATGTTTTAGTCGTGGGCAGTAGTTCGCTGTGTATCTCTGAGCAACGAGTTCTTTTTAATCGGCACAGCCACGCCTTGGGAGATGACCACGTTGTGTGATTGCTGGGTGTCCCCGGCAGCTGCCTGATTGTCACATCTCACGTGTTGAGCGTGATCTTGCTGAAATGGGGCCTGTGCTCGTCGGAGGTCCTGGCCTCTGCCCTTCCTAATGTGTCCTCTTCAGACTTCGGGTGAGCGCCATTAGTCACCCTTTTGTGGGCTGCTTTTTGCGACCTTTTCAGAATTAATTACTGAGAGTTCTATCCCTGCCAAGTCTCTCATTATCATTGGAAATACAAAACCAAATGCCATGCAGGGACATAGATCACCCCTTCCCTCTCCACAAGCGGCCCGATGTGATTACGGTTACGTCCCCTTCTTTCCCTGATAGCTTGTGGATGGCGGCCCGTCTGGTGGGGCCGCTGCCTGAAGTGGGCCGTGGTGGGCCGTGGGGGTTCGGGCGTCCCCGAGCGCTGTGCTCACGGCCGTGCTTGTACCCTCCAGGTGTCTGTCCCGCCGGGTGCTCTGGACTGCTGGGTGTTCCTGAGCTGTCTGGAGGTGCTGCAGAGGATAGAAGGCTGCTGTGACCGGGCCCAGGTGGACGCGAACATCGCCCACACTGTGGGCTTATGGGGCTATGCCACCGAGAAGGTGACTGTGCCGAATGCAGCCGTGGGCGCTGTCGTGGGCTGTGCCACTGGGGCGGATGGGCGGAGAAGCTGTTGGGAGAAGCCTTCGCTGGGTACTTTGGGGCACGTCTAGTCATCGTATCCCTGCAGCGTCTCTGTTTAGCAGAGACCGTGCTGAAGACATTCTACGCCAGGAGCTGGGGGAGGGGTACAAAGGGGGCAGCGGGAGACGTGTGGAAATGCAAGTGGCTCCTGCTTAAGTGACTGACGGTCACCCCGTGTGTGCAGAGGACGGCCTGCTGGCGTCAGGGTTGCCGGGTGCAGACCGGGCGGGAGGCTTTCAGAGCTCAGGACGGTGCGAGTTGGTTAGTGGCGTGAGCTCAGAGCCGCCAGCCTGACTCACTCGGAACTCTCGCATAGAGGCATGGGTTCCGGTCCCAGTAAGGTATGTTTTTCTATGCAGGTAAGAGTTGTTTGGATAGGAAAGCTAAATTCCTTCTAGAATTTAGTTGGGTTTTAGTTTGTATATTCAAATTCATAAATTCTCTGCTGGTTGCTTTTGTAAATTACTGGAAATTGTGGGTTTATCTCAACAGCTGAAGTCCTTGGGCTATCTGTGTGGACTTGTGTCGGAAAAGGGACCTAACTCAGAGGACCTCAACAGGATAGTTGATCTTTTGGCAGGTTTGGGAGCCGAGCGACCTGAAACAGGTACTTTTTGATGTGTTTCTGTGCACGTGGTCCAGTGGACAGTAATGAAAATGTTGCTTGTATCTTGCCACCTTTAATTCAAGTCCTAACAATGTAATTGCTCCCCATTTGGGAAATTATACTCCTTGTTAGCGGAGCAGATTAGCACAGGGGGCATTTTACCTCTTAATAACGTAAAGAAATGTTAGAAATGGTATAAGAAATTGGAAAGATTTTAAAAAACGTTTCTGAGTTTCTCATGGACTTTAATGAGCAGATAAGACTTAAGAGCCTGTGTGGGGTCAGAACGCACCAGTTTCCCTCTGAGTTACAGGGGATTTAGTTTCCTGACAGTATGGGCCAAAGAAATCCTTTTACTCAGCAAACTACTCCTGGGTCATAAAGCCCTTTGAAAGGAGCTTTCCCGAGTCTTGGAGGTGTGACCTGAGCAGTAAGAGCGTGACGTAGCCAAAGCCTTGCTGGGGTCCAGGCCGCGGGCAGACTGAACGGTCTGCTGGGATGTGCAGTGTTCACGGTCCATGGTGCCCTGAGACCACTTCCGATCATTGTGGAAGGGATGTAATTAAAAACTCTCATCTCAGCCAGGAATGAAATACTACACGAAGGGTTTAGACAGTTTCGTGACTGTGCAGATGGGAGAAGCATGGAAGTAGCGATGGAGTTCCGGGGGCATGGCTGTGAGCCCCACCCCTGGCATTTAAAAAAATTATTTAATTAAAAAAAATTTTAATGTTTTTATTTATTTCTGAGAGAGAGAGAGACAGCGTGAACAGGGGAGGGTCAGAGAGACAGAGGGAGACACAGAATCGGAAACAGACTCCAGGCTCTGAGCTGTCAGCACAGAGCCCAACGCAGGGCTCGAACCCACGAACCGTGAGATCATGACCTAAGCCAAAGTCGGATGCTTAACTGACTGAGCCACCCAGGTGCCCTTGGCATTTGAGCGCGGATGTAGACTCATGACGGACACATGGAGAAGGAGTAAGGACTCTTAATTCTTTTTGTTTCAGCCAACACAGCTCAGAGTCCTTACAAGAAGCTCAAAGAAGCATTGTCATCAGTGGAAGCCTTTGAAAAACACTACTTAGTGAGTATCGCACATGATACCTCTCCCCCCACGGCACAGAGCTGTCTCTAGAAGGCTCTGCTGACCTTGGGACTGGGAATGGGATGATGTTCGGGCCCCCTTGTCGGCCTTTTCCACTTCTTCGTGGTGTCCTCGGGAGCTGCGGGTGACCCCCAGGGGATGTCCCTGTTAAATGTGCTTTGTGCCCGTGGTGCCGTAATTAGGCACAAGAACATCTTTGGATGTTTATAATTCTGTTCAAAGTGGTATTGCTCGTTCAGTACAATAGAAACTGTAGGTAAGGATAATGAATGGTTTTATGCGTACCAAAAAAATGCCGTAGACTTGAACAGATCTCCTGTGCTTGATTTTAAAAGATTTCAATTTGGAGACACTGTAGGAAGCGCAGTGCAGGTAGGAGCTCAGTGGGCCGGCCTGACTCCTGCGTTGCAGGTAACTCGGGAGCGCTTGACAGAGTTTTTGTCCCTGTTATCCGGAAGCTGAGAAGAATACTAAAAATGTGACCCCATATGGAAAGTTCTTTGAGAGGCTAAATATCCTATGCCTACTGAGTTCATGTTTCTTTTGTTATGCTTCCTAATTTGTGTACAAGTCAATGACTTTGCATAAGTCACATATTGCATAAAGACACAACACAGAAGTAGATGCAAAGAGAACAACGATGTTGCTAATAGCAAAGTCTTGTGCTTCGGTGCTGGGTAGATACGCGTGGGGTTCGTCTTGCGTTCAAGTCCGGGCTGATGCGGACCTGTGCTCTCCGCAGGACCTGTCCCACGCTGCCATCGAGATGCACACGAGCATCGGGAGGCTCCGCTCGGCCAAGTTTGTGGGGAAGGACCTGGCAGAGTTTTACATGTAATTGACTTTGAACTTTTCCTCAGTTTCGGACATTTTACACATGCAGTAAGAATGTCACGTATGGGCTTAATGCGAAGTATACATAAACGTGCAGAACGAAAAATGGAGGCTCTTCCAACCAGTCAGTATCAGGGTTTTTTTCTTATTTCTTTTAAAAACCAAATGGAGAGATTTTCAGCTTGTTACCCTGAGCGTTCCTGTTTCTTTGTGATCTTTGTGATTTATCTGTGATCTTTGTGTTTCTTTTGTTAAATTGATGTAACTCTGTATGCAGGTGGTATGCGTAACACTTACGGAATATAATAATGTTATTTAATGAAAGAGTTATGAGGAGATAGTTAAGAATCTTTATCCAGTGACATAAATTGGGTTGCAGATTCTCAAGTATTTTGTTATGTAGTATTTTCCCTAGTTATATCATTTGTCCCCTGGGAAGATGGAAAGCCTCGGGGTCAGTGATGCAAACATCCAAGGTAGAGGGGCCGCTCCGGGACGGGCTGAGGGGCAGCTGCGCGAGGGCGGACTGGCCCCGGCGCTGGAGTTGGGTTCTAGAGGAGGGACTCCGCGTATTTCTCACATGGCTGACAGAACCGGCCTATTTAAGAGCTGGCCGTGTGCTGTGGTTTCAAAGCCCTGGAAAGGGATGTCCGTTATCAGTGAAAAGATGTTTAAGTTTGCTTAAATGTGTCTTTGAACCGGTATCTTGAAATCTGTAGTTAATAAAATAATCTTATCAGCCCAAACCAGAAAGGACGATTCGCATTCATGGAATAAAGTGGCTGCAGAGGGCTTCGTACCTCTTCTAATGAACCTCCTCGTTTTCCACATGCGGTCGCAGCCGCTAGCCGGTCACACACCTGATGGCGAGCAGCCAGGGCTAGGGGCACTCCTGAGCCTCTGTCTAGTAAATCTGAGGAGTGAGTTTCTAGTTAATGGAGCAAAGAAGCCTGCTCCTTAGGTGCTGTGAGCTGTGCCTGCCTGGACTCCAGGGTGGGGCGAGGCCGGGAGCTCCCGTGGGTGGCGCTGGGCTGCTTGGGGGCTCGGCCCCTGGTGCCCGCTTGCCGCAGACTCTGTGGGGGGCCACTGGCCTCGTCTCTGGGGGCTGAGGAATGCTCTGTCGGCTCCCTACTCTAGAACGTGAGAATCTTTGGCTAGACGTAGTAACTGGAGGGGTACTAAAGGTTCTGTCCCCTTTGAAACCCGGGGAAGTGGCAATACCAATGTGCATAGTGTGGCAGCTTGCAAATGTCTGTAATTTGAGAATTCAAGAACTCTTACCTCTTCGAGAGTAGGATGGTCAACACTGGGAGGTGTCCCAAGGGTGCCCGGGGAGGGCACCTGGTTCCGCGTTGCCCTCTGGCTCGTGAGCTCAGTAGCCCGGGTCCTCTGGGGAAGGGCGGGGCTCCGTGTCGTCACCGAGGCTTTGGCAAGCTCTCCTCAGTTGTGCTTGTTTGAGCTGGGGCCGGTAGGGCGTCTTGGGTGGCATGTGTTGCTATTTAAATTCTTAGCTCTCTGTGACTCTCTGAGGCCTGAGCACGGCCGTTTGCCCGAGGTTCAGAGCGGAGCCGAGCGCCTCTCGGGCCGTGCAGGCCGCCCCCGCAGGCGCCCGTCTGCAGCAGGTGCTGTGGCCCCGGCGCGGGTATCGGAGCTTCCCGACTGACTGGCCGTGTCCCTGCGGGCGAGTCCTGCACCTCGCTGTGTGGGGGGCCGTCCGGAGGGACTGGGCCGGCACAGGGTAGTGGCGAGGAGGTACAGAGGCCGGCAGGCGGGGCGGGTGCATCATGAACCGTGACGGAAGCTTCTGTGTGTTGATTTGCAAGGAGGAAGAAGTCCCCACAGAAGGCGGAGGCCTATCTTCAAGGAGCCCTGAAAAACTACCTGGCTGAGGGCTGGGCGCTGCCCATCACTCACACGAGGAAGCAACTCGCCGAGTGTCAGAAACACCTGGGGCAAACCGAAAAGTATCCTTTGAGTTTAATATTCCCGTGAAATAGGAGACTTGCTCTCTGTCTGTACGAGCGAGCAGCGGGGCCCACGGGGAGTGTTCGACACACACCTGGTAGTGAAGAGAGGAGAAGCCTGCCCCGTGCCTCCGCGTCCGGCCGCGTGTAAGTGAGGCGCCTGGCCGGTGTGTCTCACACCTGTCCTTGAGTTCCCGATAATGTAGACACAGAGGAGAATCCACGCTCCGCTCCAGGCCGCACGCGGAGGCCCCGGGGCGCCTGCAGCCGCTCAGGCCGGGCCCTCTTCTCCGATCCTTGACTCTCCCCTAGCTACCTTCAGACCAGCAGCCTCTTGGCCAGCGACCACCACTTAACTGAAGACGAACGGAAGCACTTCTGCCAGGAGATACTCCGCTTCGCCGACCGACAGACGGACAGTCCAGGTCAGACCCTCTTTTAAGACGTCTCGCTGTGAAAATCTTCAGCTGCTGTAGGAAAGTAAAGAGATCACACGGTGTATAACACAGGCTACCTACCCAGATTCAGCAGTTGTTAACTTTCGCTGTGCGGCAAATGCGTATCTGTCTCTTTCTGCTGAACTTGGTGACTCCAGACCACAGGACACACTTAAAAGTGCTTAGCGTGGCCCTCTGAAATCAAGGGTACCCCCAGCCAGCCCCCAAAGAACAAGGTTCTGACTTCAGCTACTAACTGGCCTGTATTCACATCTTTCTTCAGTGGCTCAGAAGAAATGTTTTTATACATTATTTTTAGTAGAGTCCAAGTAGGGATAACATGTTGCATTTGATTGTTATATCTCACTTCTCTTTTAGTTAATTTTTACTCTTTTGTTTTTTGACAGCAGGCTCCACGCTGTCAGTGCAGAGCCCAACGCGGGGCTTGAGTGGGGCGCCTGGGGGCTCAGTCGGTTAAGCTGACCGACTTCTGATTTCAGCTGAGGTCACGATCTCACAGTTTGTGGGATCGAACCCTGCATTGGGCTCTCTCACAGACAGCATGGATTCTCTCTCTCCCCCGTTCTCTGGTCCTCCCCTACTCGTGCGCACACACGCTTTCTCTCTCTCTCTCTCAAAATAAATAAACTTATAAAAAAGGTGGGGGTGACTGCAGTGCAGTCTATAGCAGTTTTTAAACACTTGAAAGCCAGTGTTTCCAGAGTTTGGTAGGTAGGTAGGTCATTGATTGCTGGTGTGGATTTCACTCAGATTGAGCTCTCTGCACGGGGTTCTCAGGAGCAAATGGCATTAGTTTGTTTTTATTTATTTTTTTGATTCTTTAATGTGCCCAAAATGGCCACTGGCAGAGCCGTGTGGCACATCTGCTCTGTGTGACACGTATGTGAGACTGCACAGGCACGCCTCTCCTGCCTGCATTGCATGCCGTGTCTGCAGGAATCAATAGGCTGGGACTGAACACTGCTGCCTTGTGCTTTCCTTCCTTCCTCCTTTCTCCCTCCCCTCCTCTCTTTCTTTCTTCCTTTCTTTCTTCCTCTCTCTCTCTCTCTTTCTTCTTTCAATTAAAGTTTATTTATTTTGAGAGGAAAGGAAAAAGAGAGTGTGTACATATGAGAGCTGGGGAGGGGCATAGAGGAAGAGAGAGAATCCTAAGCAGGATCCGTGCTGTGCTGTCACTGTGGAGCCTGACGTGGGGCTCAGCCAAGCCAAAATCAAGAGCCAGACTCTCAACCGCCTGAGCCCCCCACACGCACCTCTTTGTTTTTACAACATTAATCTCTGCAAGTCTTTCCTTGAGTTGATCAGTGTTTAATAAACACTTACCAGTCAGCCTGGCGGCCTTGTGCATTTTCTGAACAAGCCATGGAGGAGGCCAGAGAGCACAGTGGGTTCTCCCCCTTAGTAGCTGTGAGGCTGCGGCCTCAGTGCCCTCGGGGGGTCCAGGAGGCAGGGCTCCCCACTCCCTCAGCTGATTGCACAGGCTGGCAAGCACCTGGGCTTATTTCCAGATGTACGGGGAGGACATGGGCATTTTTACTTGAGAATTTCTTTTTTGGGGGATTTTCTTTATGTAGGTGGGACGGGGGTAGAGTTCTTTGAAACAGGCCTAGTAGCTGGACTGTTTATAAATACTGGTTTCATATTCGGGTGTTCACTGACCTGTTTTTCTTGTAGGTTTGCCTTAATTTCTTCACATTCTAGGACTTCCAGGAGCTATCTAGGCGTGTGTGTGTTCTCCTTTTGCCCAAATACCTCGCGTAGCTGTGAAGATGGCGTGGGGTGGGCGGTTTGCGGGGTCGGGGGCTTACGCGTCCCCTTGAAATAGCGTCACCTCCTGCATCTCTGCTGCGCGTACGCCGGCTGCCCTGGCGGTAGCCAAGGCCCTGCTGCCTGTAGCTGATCCGAGGCCAGGTGTGGCCGCTAACTCGTGGTGATGTGCGTTTGCAGGTCAGAGAATCATACTCCCTCTGCACTGTTTCGCACAACTGAGAGATCTTCATTTTACCCCTTCCACCGCCGTGGTCCACGTCGGGGGGGTCTTGTCCGTGGAGATTACCTTGTGCAGCCAGATGCCCATTCCCGTCCACGTGGAGCAGGTGGCCATCAGCGTCCACTTCAGCATCGAGAAGAACAACTACCGGAAGACGGCCGAGTGGCTTACCAAGCACAAGGCATCCAACGGGGTCATTAACTTTCCGGCGGAGAGCCCGCCCTGCCCCGCGCCGCAGAGCCAGCTGCCGGCGCCCGAGCTGTACGAGGTGTTTGAGAGGAGCCCTTCCGACAACTCCTTGAACACCACTGGGATTATCTGCAAGAATGTTCACATGCTCCTGAGGAGGCAGGAGAGCAGCCCTGCGCTGGAAACCTCCTCCGGCGTGGCTCTGGATGACGGGGCCCACGTGCTGAAATGTAGCGGTGTGACTCTGGAACCAGGAGCCAACAGGCTAACGTTCAGGACGCAGGTGCGTGCCGAGGCGGGGGCTGACCTGCGGGTGGCCGGGGAGGGGGTCGAGCGCGCCAGGACGGGTGGAGGAGCGGCGCCTCCGTGCGCGACCCTGCGGTTGGTTTGTACCCTTCAAGAATAGACTGATAATTTTAAAAAGTCTTTTATACTTGAACAGATTCATGACAGTTGATACATTTTTTAAAAATATTTATTTATTTTGAGAGTGAGAGCGAGAGCATGCTAGCAGGGGAGGGGCAGAGAGAGAGGGAGACAGGGAACCCCAAGCAGGCTCCACGAGCCCAACATGGGGCTCGATCTCACGAGTGGTGACCTGAGCCCAAATCCGGAGTCGGAAGCTTAACTGACTGAGCCCCCCAGGCCCCTGGCAGTTGATACGTTTTAAAAGAAGTTGGTAATGTGGATAATTCGCCCTCGCTGGTATTAAAAAGTACCCTCATTTGTTGACATCCTTTCAAAGAAGGTGGCACACTGTCACGTCAAACCTCGCTTCCTTCGTGGGCTGCGTGGGTGTCAGGTCAGCGGCCCCAGCCTGCTGTCCTACCAGCCTGCCCTCGGGCAGCGCCCTGCACGTCCGCGGCTGAAGCCGTGGCCCCTGCAAAGTGCGGCTGTTCCTCACTTGAGTCTTTAGGCCCAGAGCAGGGCTCCGATCTCATGCTGAGTGTCCCACTAAACACTTGTCAGAACGCCACAAAGCAAGTGTGTTAAATAGAAAATACCTGCCAAAAGCAGGAGGCCAAAGTGAAGCCTCGGTGACTTCGAAGACCCTTGGCGGGGAGACGGAGGGCGCCTCCGAGCGGCCTGGTGCGGCCTGGCCGGGCAGGGCAGCGGGTGGAGGGCCGGGCGGGGCGGGTGCTTCCCAGCGGGGACCGCACAGCCCTCCCTCGGGACGCCCGTTCCGGGAGCAGGGGGGTGACTCGCTCGATTGCGCCCGCAGGCCAGGGAGCCCGGGACTTACACGCTGCGACAGCTGTGCGCCTCGCTGGGCCCGGTGTGCTTCGTCGTCCCCCACCTGTACCCCCCGGTGCAGTACGACGTGTACTCGCAGGAGCCGCAGCTGCGCGTTGAGCCGTTGGCTGGTGAGTGGGCGCCCCCCGTTTCTTGCCAGGAGAAAGCAGTGGCTGTGCCCTCAGCCCAAAGATCCAGAGGCCTAACCCGAAAAAGCCCGAAGCGATTCCGAATAGCAACGGTACGTCCGGTTTCATTAGCCTGTTGTCTGGTGTCCTTCCCGGATTCTCTCCTGCCGACTTACTGGCAGAGCAGTTTGAGATGCTCACAGATGGGTTTGCCACCGTGTCCCCACTTCTCTCCTCGGTACTGATGAGCCTCAGATTCCCGTGCTCCCGGCAAGGCCCCCTCCGCTGTGCGTTCCACGCGGCTGAGATGAAGCGCGAGGGCGGGGGGACGGGCCGTGGAGCCCCTGACGGGAACCCAGCCTTCTAGTAGGAGAAACAGAGCACCCTTGTAACCCCCGGCAGGCCCTCCGTCCATCGGTCATGATGCTGATTGCTGCCTTTTCCCCTTTAGATAGCCTTCTGGCTGGTATCCCTCAGAAGGTCAAGTTCACTGTCACCACCGGCCATTATACAGTAAAAAATGGGGACAGCCTGCAGCTCAGCAACGCGGAAGCCATGCTCATCCTTTGTGACGCTGAGAACAGAGCAGTGATCTACTCCAACGTGAGAGGTGAGGCGCCCGGTCCCTGGTGCAGGCGGGCCCTTGGCGCTCTTGCGCCCCGGGAGGCCCTAAGCAGCCTGTCGTCAGGCCGCCCTCGGGCAGTGTCGGAGGCCCGCTTCTCCCTGCCGCTCTCCCATGGCGCTGTCCTGCCTGGAGGCGGGCTGGGACCCTGTCTGGATGGGACACTGTATGTGGGGGGACAGACTGAGAGCCGTGCATGTGCTCGGTGGCCAAGTGGCGCTGACCTTGCTCAGGGCTCGTAATGCAGCGTCACGGCCTAGGCCCTGCCCCAAGATGACTGTCTACAGGCCACCAGTCTCCTTCCGCCTGGCCCCCCCCCCGTCACCAAAAAGCTAAAGCGAATCAGCCTTTTTGGGCACGGGTCAGAACCCCTAACAAAGTCCCATGTCCCCTGGTCTCCAGGCAGGCGGTCTGGAGAGAGGACACCGCTCCGCCTCTGGGTGGGTGCCGGTCTGCGGGTGGGGCGGGAACACGTGGTGTGGGGAAACACACACCGTGGCTGGGCCGTGTGGGAAGTTTCCCTTTTCTGCGTGCAGACTTAGCACAGGGACCGTTCTCCGGGACAGCCGGCATTAATGTCTTAGATCTTCCTGCCTCTGCCCTCCCACCTTAATCCTTTCCAGACACGCTCTTGCGCACGCACATGTGGCGGCAGCAGCAGGAGCTGGGCAGGAACTTCCCTGTTGAGCCCATCACCTACTAGAAGAGAAGGGGACAGTGTGGGGATGTGTCAGAAGTGACGTTTTTTGTCTTTCCTAGAAAAGGCTTCTGATGTGTTGCTCCGGGTTCAGTCGTCCGACAAGGTCACGAGCATCAGTCTGCCCGCTGCTCCTGCGTACCACGTGATTGAATTTGAACTGGAAGTTCTCTCTTTACCTTCAGCTCCAGTAACTGGAGGAGAGAGCGGCGTGCTGGGGATGACAGAGTCCCAGAGGAAGCACAAGGACTCGCGGAGCGCTGGCCGCTGCATGGCCACCGCAGAGCACAAAGTAAGGAGGGGCTGGCGCCTCTCAGCCCGTGAAGGTGGCCTCTGCCCGCTGCACGTGCGCAGGAGGGGCCTTCTGGTGAACTGGCAGATTACCCTTTCCTGGTGCCACATCCTCTCATTGGATTTAGCGTTTATATCTTTGAGTCACTCCCTTTACATAAGGGGCACATCGTGCAAGGACAAGGACAGAGAGGCTCTGAGTTCTCTGCAGTAACTCGAGAGGGAAGGAGAGTTTAGTGTAAGAGAGAATGTTTGCTGCGGGGGGTAGGTGTGGGTCTGCAGTCCGTTCGTCTTAGTGAACAGGCTAGACTGAGCTCTGTCTTGGTGTGCTTCAGTGTCTGTGCACTGAAACGTCACGTCACACTTGGCAAGGAGGAACCTCTGTCATTTTATGCTTTGATGTTGATGCTGATTGACCGTTGAGAGACCCATGACTTTGCGCAGATCCACAGTCCATCAGCTCAAGCAATGTGTAACTACCGTTGTGCTCATTCAGGCATGTCCATGTCTTGTGACACAGATGTCCGTTCTGAGGGGTTTTGATAGCCCAAATGTAGAAGTGCACACTTAATGGCCCCGCAGGACGGAACATACTTGCACACCTTACAAAGCTGCTGCCGGCGGGCCTGGCTTCCAGTCACCCTGACCTACGAGCTGAGACCCTCCGCTCTGGGTCCAGGCACACCCTCCACCGCGGGGAGGTATTAAAAATACAACAGGTGCTGGGACAGCACGAAGGTTTCAGTGACAACCGAGAAACCTCCTCCATGAGGCCGCTCCTTCAAGCCTGGGAGAGGCGGGTATTCCATCTGCTGTGGAGAGCGGAGCTCAGAGAGTCCGGCAAAACGGACAAACAGGAGTCAGTTTCACAGGAAAGAACAAGATAAAACGGGAGAAAACATCTCCATGAAACGGAAAGAAGTAATTTACCTGATAAGGAGTTCAAAATAACGGTCACGAAGATGTTCACCAAACAGGAGAAAACAGACGGACACAAAGAATGGACACTTCAACAAAGAGATGGGAGATATAAGAACGTAGCAAATAGAAATCACAGAGTGAACAACAGAGCAGCTGAACTGAAAGAGCAGATGAAGCAGAAGAAAGGATCAGCACCTTGAAGTCAGTTGGACTCCGTCAATCAGAGCCGCAAAAAGAATGAACAGAAGTGAAAACAGGAGTTTGTAAGACAACATAAAATAGACTAATATTTGGATCACGGGGCTTCCAGAAAGAGGAGAGAGAGAAAGGGTCAGAAATCTTGAAGAAGTAATGGGTGAAGATTCCCTAATGTGCGGAAGGAAACAGGCACCTAGATCCAAGAAGCCCGGAGAGACCCACACCAAGACACACTATAATTACATCCAAAAGGTAAAAACCAGGAGAGAATCGTAAAAGCAGCAAGAGAAAAACAAGTTGTTACGTACACGGAAACCCCCCTACGTCCATCAGCAGATTTTTCGGCAGAAACTTTGCAGGCCAGCGGGAGTGGCGCGAGATATTCAGAGTGCTGAACGGAAATCTCCAACCAAGACTTCTCTACCCGGCAAAGTTATCATTCAGAAGGAAGGAGAGAGAAAGTGCTTTGCAGAGGAACAAAAGCTAAGGGCTTCCTCACCACTGACGGCCTTGTGAGGGATGCTACAGGAGCTCCTCTAAGCTGAAAAGAAAGGTGTTCACAAGAACACGTGTAAAAGAGTAAATCTCACTGGTAAGGTAAGTATATAGTAAAAGTAGTGTGTCAATCACTTGTAACGTTAGTGTGAAGGTTAAAAGACATAAGTGGTAAAAATAGCTGTGATTATTATAATAACTCATTAAGGAACACACATAAAAAGATATAAAATGTGAATCAGAAACATCAAATGTGGAGGCGAGGAAGAGTTAAAGTGTTGAGCTTTAGAATGGATCAAACTTCAGTGTTAACAACCTGAAAACAGACTGTTACATGTAGAAGTTGTTATGTATAAGCCTTATGGTAGCTGCAAAGCACAAACCTGTAGCAAATACACAAAAGATAAAGAAAAAGGAACATAAGCACACCACCAGTCATCAGACCACAAAAGGAAGAAAGCAGAGAAGAAACAGAACAGAGAAGAGCTACAAAAACAAAAAATGAACAAAAATGGCAACAAGCACATGCCTATGAATAATTACTTTAAATGTAAATGCCCTCAATTCTCTGATCAAAAGACACAGAGTGGCTGAATGGATACAAATAGCAAGACCCATGTATATTCTGCTTACAAGAGGCTCACTTCAGATATAAGGACACACACAGACTAAAGTGAAACCAGATAGAGGCGCCTAGGTGCCTCAGTTGGTTAAGCGTCTGACTTGGGCTCAGGTCATGATCTCACGGTTTGTGAGTTCGAGCCCCACATCGGGCTCTGTGCTGACAGCTCAGAGTCTGGAGCCTGTTTCGGATTCTGTGTCTCCTTTTCTCTCTGCCCCTCCTCCACTCACACTCTGTGTCACTCTCTCTCAAAAATAAATAAATGTAAAATAATAATAATAATAATAATAATAATAAAGAGATAAAAATAAGGTGAAACCAAATGAAGAAATCAAAGGAAATCTAGAGCAGCTATATTTAGAATAGACTTTAAAACAAAGAGTGTAATAGACAAAGGGGAGAGTGTTACTTAGGGCTTTTGATCCCACAAGAAGATAGAGCATTTGTAAATATTTATGTATACAGCACAGGAGCACCTAGTATGCCAAGCAAATGTTAACAGACCTAAAGAGAGAAATGAGCAGCAATATAATAATAGTAGGGGATTTTAATGCCGCATTTATTTCAATGCATAGATTATCCAGACAAAATCAGTAAAGAAACATTGGCCTTAAATGACACATGAGACCAGATGGACTTAACAGATGTTTACAGAACATTCCATCCAAAGCAGCAGAATACACATTCTTCTCAAGTGCGCATGGAGCATTTCTCTAGGATAGATTGTATATTAGGCCACGAAACAAGTCTTGAGAAACTTGAGTTGAAATCATGTCGTGCATCTTTTCTGACCCCAACAGTATGAGACTAGAAATTAATTACATGAAGAAAACTGGAATATTCACAAATAACTGGAGATTAAATAGCGTGTTACTGAACAACTTCTAGGTCAAAGAAGAACTCAAAGGAGAAATCAAAACATACTTTGGGACCGATGAAAATGGAACACACCAAAATTTATGAGATGCTGCAGAAGCGGTTCTAAGAGGGGAGTGCATAGCGATGAGCGCCCCCCTCAAGAAACAGGAAAAGTCAAACAGCCCAACTTTACACCTGAAGGAACTAGAAAAAGAAGAGCAAAGCCCAAAGTTAGGAGAAACAGCAAACATTAGAGCAGAAAGAAATGAAATAGCCAAAAAGGGCAAAAGGAATGATCGATGAAATTAAGAGCTGGCTCTTTGAAAAGATACAGTTGACAAATTTGTAGCTAGACTCACCAAGATAGAGGGACTCAAATCAGAAATCAAAGAGATGTTACAGCTGACGCCACAGAAATACAAAGGCTTATGAGACACTATTATGAACGATTATACGCCAGTAAATTGGACAGCCTAGAAGAAATGGATAAATTCATTTATCTGGGAACATAGAACCTACCAAGAGTGAATCATGACGAAACAAAATCTGAACAAAATGATTGCTAGTAAGGAGACTAAATTAATCATCAGAAACCTCCCAACAAATGAAAATCCAGCCAGAAGGCTTCACTGGTGAAGTCTACCATATGTTCAAAGAAGAATATGTTACTTCTTAATACATTCTTAATACACTTCTTTTTTTTTTTTTTTTTTTTTTTTTTTTTCTAGGAGAGAGACAGCGTGAGCAGGGGAGGGTCAGAGAGAGAGGGAGTCACAGATTCTGAAATAGGTTCCAGGCTCTGAGCTGGCAGTCAGCACAGAGCCCGACGCGGGGCTCGAACCCACGAACCGCGAGATCATGACCTGAGCGAAAGTCGGACGCTTAACCGACTAAGCCACCCAGGCGCCCCTCTTAATACACTTCTTAAACTCTTCCAAAAAACAGAAGAGGAGGGGACTCTTCCAAACTTGTTCTACGAGGCCGGCATTAACCTGATACCAAAACCAGAAAAGGACGCCACAAGAAAAGAAAATTACAGGCCAGTATCTCTGATGAACACATGTGCAAAAATCCTCAACAAAGTATTAGCAGACCACATTTTAACGATACACTAAAAGCATCATACACATGATCAAAAGGGATTTATTTCCAGGGTGCAAGGATGGCTCACCGGCCACACATCAGCCCACGTGAGCCACCACAGCGACAGTAGCAGAGCGAAGGATGAAAGTAGACACAGGGAAAGCATCTGGCAAAATTCAACATCCGTTTATCATAAAAAGTCTCAACAAAGTGGATACAGAGGACACATCCCACAGCATAATAAAGGCCACATACGACAAGCCCACAGCTAATGACCTGCTCAGCGGTGAAAAGCTGAAAGCCTTTCCTCTAAGAGCACAAATGACAAGGAGGCTGGCTCTTGTCACTTTTATCCAACTTGGTATTGGAAGTCCTTGCCAGAGCAGTTAGGCAAGAAAAAGTAATAAAAGGCCTCCAGACTGAAGGGAAAGAAGTAAAATGTCTCTGTTTGCAGGGGGCATAATATCTCTACAACTCTAAAGGCTGAATCAAAAAACTTAAATTCATTAAAGTTGCAGGATACAAAATGAATACACAAAAATCTGTTGTGGTTGTGTATACTAATAATGAACTATCAGAAAGAGAAATAAAGAAAGCAATTCTATTTACAGCTGCATCTAGAAGAGTAAAATACCTAGGAATAAATTTAACCAAGGAGGTGACAAACCTATATTTTGAAAACTATAAAACAGATGAACATAAGGGAATATAAAAATATAAAAATAATATAAAAACAAGGAGGGGGACGAAACACAAGAGACTCTTAAATACAGAGAACAAACTGAGGTTTGCTGGAGGGGTTGTGGGTGGGGAGTGGGCTAAATGGGTGGGGGGACATTAAGGAGGACACTTGGGATGAGCACTGGGTGTTCTATGTAAGGGCTGCATCACTGGATTCTACTGCTGAAATCATTATTGCACTAGATGCTAACTACCGTGGATGTAAATTTTAAAATCTCTAAATAAATGAAATTTGAAAAAAAGAAAACTAGAAGACATCGATGAAAGAAATTGAAGAAGATACAAATACATGGAAAGATAATTTGTGCTAGTGGATTGGAAGATTTAATACTATTGAGATATCCGTAACTACCCAAAGCAATATGCAGATTGAGTGTAATCCCTATCAAAACTCCAATGGCACTTTTCATAGACATAGAACAGAGAATCCTAAAATGTGTATGAAAGCACAATAGACCCCAAATACCCACCACTTTCTTGAGAACAAAGCTGTAGGTACCACACTCCCTGACTTGAAAGTATATTACAAAGCTGTTGTTATCAAAACAGTGTGGTATTGGCATAAAAGCACATACACCGATCAGTGGAACAGAATATAAAGCACAGAAATAAATGGAACATGTATATGGTCAGTTTCTGACAGAGGAGCCAGGAATGTGTAATGAAGAAAGGACAGTGTCTTCAAAGAAAAGGTGCTGAAGAAACTGGACGACCACGTGCAAAAGAATGAAGTCCGACCCCTGTCTTTCAGCATCCACAAAAAATTAAAATGGATTAAAAGGGCGCCTGGGGGGCTCAGTCGGTTAAGCGTCCGACTTCGGCTCAGGTCATAATCTCACAGTTCGTGGGTTCGAGGCCACGTCGGGCTCTGTGCTGACAGCTCAGAGCCTGGAGCTGCTTCAGATTCTGTGTCTCCTTCTCACTCTGTCCCTCCCATACTCTCTCTCTCTCTCTCTCTCTCTCTCTCTCTCTCTCAGAAATAAAACATTAAAAAAAATTTTTTTAATGTATTAAAAGCTAGAATGTTAGACCTAAAGCCATAAAACCCCTAGAAGAAAATAGGTGGTGAGCTCCTCAACAGTGGTCTTGGCAATGATTTTATGGATCTGACACCAAAAGCAAACATAAACAAGTGGGACCACATCAAATAAAAAAGCTGCTCTCTGCTCAGCAAAGGCAGCCATCAACAGAGTGGAAAAACAACCCCTACTGAATGGGAGAAAATATTTTCAAATCCTGTATCTGATAAGGTGTTAACACCCAAAATATATAAAGGACTCCTACAACTCAGTGGCAAAAAGCCCCACAACCTGATAAAAATGGGCAGAAGATCTGAATAGACATTTTTCCAGAGAAGACACACTGATGCTCAGCATCGCTAGGCAGGCTGATGGGATGTGGGAGGTGAGGGCGCCCTCATGCACGGCTGGGGCGGGGGGGCCGTGCAGACTGGTGCGGCACCCTGGAGAACAGCATGGATGCCCCCTCAAAACATTAAAAATAGGGGCACCTGGGGGGGTTCAGTCGGTTAAGCATCTGACTTCAGCTCAGATCATGATCTCATGGTTCATGGGCTTGAGCCCCGCGCTGGGCTCTGTGCTGACAGCTCAGAGCCTGGAGCCTGCTTTGGATTCTGTGTGTGTCTCTCTCTCCTCCTTACCTGCTTGTGCTCTGTCTCTCTTTCTCGCTCTCAAAAGTAAATATTAAAAAAAAAACATTAAAAATAGAACTACCCTACAGTCTAGCAATTCCACTTCTGGGCATTTACCCAAAGAAAATGAGAACAGTTACTTGAAAAGGTATCTGCACCCCCGTGTTCGCTGGAGCTTTAGACATGGAAACAACCTCCGTGTCCACTGACGGGTGACCGGACAGAGAAAACATTGCATAGATGCAGCGCGGAACATCACTCACCATAAAAAAGGAAATCTTGCCATTTGCAGCAACGTGGATGGGCCTTGAGGGCACTATGCTGACGGAATAAGTCAGAGAAAGATAAATACCGTCTGATCTCTCTTGTATGTGGATCTAAAAAAAAAAAACCCAAGCTCATAAATACAGAGTGCAGACTAGTGGATGCCAGAGGCAGGGGTGGGGGTGGGCAGAGGCAGGGTGGGAGTGGGCATAGAGAAAAGGGTGAACTGGTTTTTGTTTTTGTTTTTTAGTTTAAATAAGTTGAATCATTTGGGGGAAAAAAAAAAAAAAGACACACGTGCGCAAAACCAGTATGGTAACAGGCTAACGCACACAGTCATTGCAGAGAGATTACGTCAGACTGGTTAGCACCCCGCGGATAATGTTTTAATTTTCATTCCCTGAAACTTTCTTTCCTTATCTGGTAGCAGAGTTGAGGTAAAGGTGACACTTCATTGTGAGGGCGAAACCAGTGCTGGAAGCACACATCTGTAGTCCGTGAAACAAAAGGAAGCGTGAAGCATGGCGTGTGCCCCTGGCGGAGTTATGGGCATGGTCCACACCGCGCCCCCAGCTCACTTGCTTTTCCGTTACACGTTTGCTTGGTGTGGACCGCTGGAATAATCCATCTCCTTTTGTAATCGTGATTGATTATGTCATCTTGACAAAGCACTTGGCTCTAGCCTCCTATGGGTTAAAAGCCACCTTTGGCGTCATGGCCACGTTGGTGCGGAAGAGCGAGGGGGCACTGCTGTCCCTTGCCGTGGCATCCACTCTGGGGCTTTGGAGACCATTCTGGTGACTTATGGACGTTTGGCCGCTTCCATGTTTACGTTTCTTGTCTGTGTGCATAGCTTTACGTTTCCCGTTTGTTCGTGCATCTGCTCACTGCGGGAGTGCTTTCTAAATAAGAAGCACCGAGGCCATCGGGTGTCTAGGAAATTGGGAGCCACTGTGGATCTGGATGCATGGGGTGCTGGCGGCCGTGGTCGTCGCGTGGTCTGAACGTGTGTCCCTCCGTGTCTCCTCAGGTGTCCATTGATTGCCCGTGGTCCATCTACTCCACCGTCATTGCTCTGACATTCAGCGTGCCCTTCAGGACCACACACTCTCTCCTGTCAGCCGGGACTCGGTACAGTGCACTCCAGGCCCTGCTCCCGCCCCTCGCCCACCCTCATGGAGACCCTGGCCCTTCAGAGCTAGGCCTCGGGGGCCCTGGCCGTGTTTACTTTCCCACTGTGACGCCGTCGTCCACTTGTTGAGATTCACAGCGATTCCCTGCGCTCTACGCCGGCCAGTCCGTCCCCACGTGCCCAGCTGCCTCAGAAGTGCCCTTGTGCGGGGAGCCTTTGGGGTGTGGGATCCACGCCAAGTCCCCATTTGATTATTAGATACTTTGCCCTCTCCTGTTCCTCCAGCCAGTGACCCGTTGACAGACGGGCCAATTCTCCTCTAGAAGGTCCTCCATTCTGAGCCTGACCGGTCCCAATCTTGCGGGTTTGGGTGACTAGCTCCTAAGCCAACTGCTAGTTCCCTCTGAGGCTGGGCTTCTCGGCCCCAGCACCCCTGACGCTCGGGTCTGGTAGCTGCTTGTTTTCGGGGGCTGGGGGGGTTCTGCACCGCCCCCCACACCCCAGCTCTCCTGTTCCATGCCCGTGGCCCTCCCCATCCTCCCCACCCCCACCGTGACCACCAGAAGTGTCCCGAGGTGTAGCGCCACGTCCCCCGCAGGAGCACAGCTGCCTGCGGGGGAGAAGCCTCCCGCTCTAGAAGCTGGATTCGATTCTGATTCAGCCACTGGACCAGAGTGCTGGGACGCAGAGCCCTGTGCCCTGTGTCCGCGCCGGAGAGCCTGTCCGGCTGTCCCACCGTTAAGTGGTGACGGGCACACTGCTCCCCGCGCTCAGGGCTGCGTCTGGCCTCTCGTCGTAGAATTCCTTCTGTTTTCGTCCGTTGATGACCTTTGATGACCTTTGCATCATTTGGTAACAACAGCATCCGAACCGCACTTGGAGGGGAAGGTCACGTCAGCGGCCTGCTGGCTTTTCCTTTAAGTTACGAGGAGGGAACTGTGGATGTTCGTGGTCAAGACCCCAGCGCTTCCGGACAGGAGCTGGGTTGCTGTGTTTCAGACCGGCTTTCTCTCCGCGCGCATCAGGGGTCGACGTGAGCCCCGCGCTTAGTTTCTCCGGAGTAACGGGCACCCTTTCCAGCCTGTCTCCCCACGCGTGTGCAGGAAGGCCGGTTACAACCACATGACGACAGTGGATCAGAAACATAACATTCTTTGGCCTGTTTTTCCTCAGAAGTAGCTTGCTTAGGGAGATCGGTTTTGGGGGGACACTTTCCCCCATAAAACCGGAAGTAGAAACCTGTGGGACCCCTGCTTCTTACGTCACAGTGGCCCTTGTTCAGCTCCCCAAGAAGAGCTTCTCTGCAAACCAAAATGCGTTCACTGAAGTTCTTAAGTTTCAAAAGCGTGTTTTGTTTTGTTTTGTTTTGTCTTTCTGTTTTAGGAAGTATGTTCAAGTTTGTGTCCAGAATTTGTCAGAACTTGACTTTGAGCTGTCGGAGGGTAGCCTCGTGGGTCCCGACAGTAGTGCCGACCTGCAGCTGGTGCCGCTGAACACCGAGTCCCCGCAGGTAACAGTTCTCTGGAAGCGAGCTCCCCCCTGCCCCCAGCCGGAAACAGAGTGGGAGCAGGAGTGTGACGGTCATGTCCAGGTTTGGGTGAAGATGCGGTGTGTGTGTAGAGCGAGCCTTGCCACCCAGAGAGGGACGTCCCCAAGACGAGCCCATCTCCCGCTGCTCTGAAACAGCCGCGTTGTCACCGTGGTGTGCATGATGTGTGTTTTGTGGGCTGAGCCGCACAGTGAGTGGATTAGGAAATAGAACGATATCTGTATCTTGGAAGAGAATTAAATTTTCAGCCCCCCTACCGTGGGCACAAAGGCCTGTCCATGCCCAGGGAAGACCTCTCAAGCGTCCGTGTGGCTTCGTTAAGTATCCTGCCTGCGCTCACGCTGCCCGGCTGCTACAGAGTTCAAGGGTTTTCTTAGGGTGTCTGATCTGTAGTGTTTTTGAAGGATCGTTCCCAGCTAACAGTTGGCCCATTTCAGATGCTGGGGGTGTCCCCGTGCTCACGGGCGCTGCTGGCCCTCCATCTAAGTTACTGTTAAAATGCAAAGTAATCGGCCTAAATGTAAAGATGTCCTTTTCCATTGGGTGATGGCATTTCCGAGTTTGGAGATGTAAGAGGTACTGTGTACTGACAAACGTTCTTTAAGTACCATTATGGTCCCCTATGCTGTGAAGCTTCTGGAATCATTGAGAACCTTTGACTCGGCCCAGTCTTCTTGGGGGAAGGAGGGCACCAGGAGGCGGGGCTCCGGCGGCGGCTTGGGGTGCAGTGTCCGCCGCGGTGTGCGTGCACTGACAGTGACTCTTCCTGCAGCGCATCTACAGCAAGCAGTCGGTGTTCTTTGTGTGGGAGCTGAAGTGGACGCGAGAGCCCCCCCCTTCCCTGCGCTGCCATTTCTCTGTTGGATTCTCCCCAGCCTCCGGGGGACGACTCTCCGTCCCCTTAAAGCCGTACACGTACGAATTTCAAGTGGAAAATTTTTTCGTATGTATCGTATTATTTTTTGGTGGGAGCGTGGGGTGGGAAAATGAAAGGTGGCACCATACCCCTTTTAATTTAAAAAAAATCAGATAGAAAAAAGATCTTTCAAAGTGACAGAGCAACAGATCAAGGAAAATAGTTAGCACTTAGAGTAGCTCAGTCGTTGGCAGATTGTATTTGAGACCCATGGTCCCAGTGCAGGCCTGCCGGTGGCCTTCAGGTGAGTGTTGCTGAAGGGCGAAGGCTCCTGATCTCTGTTCCCTTTCCTCTTGCCCACATTCAGAATGTCCTGGAACTATTTCTTAGAGTCCTTTCACCCCGATCCTGGCTGCCTCTCAGGAGTTACTTTATCAAGGCATGTCTTTAGTTTATTTAAAGACAAACTGAAAACATTATGGAAATCGACTTCCTCAGTTTTACCAAGCCGTTCCTGTAACCTGAGCGGGCAGGCGGTGTGGAGCGGGGTCGCCTTGAGTTAGATGAGGGGATTGGTTGTGTTTTCTTCCCTTCGGTGAGACTTGGATTTTGTGTGAGGGAAATCAAAATGCAAATATACAATTTTGTGCTGTTTCTTTTTCCTTTACTCCTGAAGTCGTCAAACGACACTTGGAGGTGTGTTTGTGCGTGTGGCTCTGGATATTATCCGTTTTTTCAAGAACTCCTTTCAGCCAAGAGACTGTTTTATTGCACTGTCTTTATCCGCCTTAGACCTCAGGGTCGTCGCCAGCATGACTCATCTTTTCAGAGCCCTAACAAATGCCTTTTTGGAGTGTTACCAGTGGCTCCACGTCCACTCCCGTGGCGCAGAGCCTGGATGTAGCCTGGCCTGCTTCCCGTGGCGGTAACTCGCCCACCGTCCCGCTGTCGCCTCTGTCTCTCCTGCTTCCTCTCCACACGGAGAGCACGGAGGCGTTTCCGGGGGGTCGCCGTCTGAGAACGCGTCCTCTGAGGCCTGGGAACAGAGACGCCGCTTTCCTTGAGGAAAGCTGTGCTGAGCTGTGTAGTTTACACCCCATGAACTTCACCCATTTGACATGGATGGTTCAGCGCAGTTAGTATGTGGACAGGGCTATGCAGCCATCATCACGGTCACTTTTTTTTTTTTTATGTTTTATTTCTAGGAGAGAGAGATATTTTTTGTTTTGGTGTGTTAGAGAGAGAGGGAGTCACAGACTCCGAAACAGGCTCCAGGCTCTGAGCTGGCAGTCAGCACAGAGCCCGACGCGGGGCTTGAACCCACGAACTGCGAGATCATGACCTAAGCAAAAGTCAGACTCAACTGACTAAGCCACCCAGGCGCCCCTCTTTTTGTTTTTTAAACGTTTATCTTGAGAGCGAGAATGAGAACATGAGCAGGGGAGGAGCAGAGACAGAACCTAAAGCAGGCTTCCACACTCCACGTGGAGCCCGATGTGGAGCTCGATCTCACAACCCTGGGATGTGACCTGAGCCAGAATCCAGAGTCAGATGCGCACCTGACTGAGCCAGCCAGACGCCCCTGGAAAGTCTGTTCTTTCCCCATTGGACGGCCTTGGCACCCTTGTCGCGGTCAGTGGGCCACACGTGGGGGAGTTTGTAGGCCCTGACTGCTGCCGCAGGGGCAGGGAAGTGTCTCAGGCCCGCTTCTGTCCTAGGCCTCCCCCCCGGCCTCCCAGCCACGCTCCCCCGTCCCACGTGGCGGCAGAAGGCAGCGCTGGCGGGCGCGCACTTGGCACACTCCGCCTCGTCATCCCGTGTCTCCGGGCTCCCTTCCGAGCCCCGAGCAGAGCTCACCCTGCCTCTCCTGAGCTCGCAGACGGTGCAGGCCGGCGGGGCGCTCCTCGGGGCCAGGAGGCTGGGGGTCAGCCCCGCTAGCGCCGCCTGCCTTCTCTGCTCCTTCACCCGCCGGCCCCCCTTCGTCCCCCGGGACTCGGATGCTTCTCCTCCAAGCCCTGGGGTCGCACCCCGGCCATCGGCCATCGTCTGTAGGCAGCCGATCCCCTCAGATCCTAGGAGCCTGTCCCGCCCCAGGTGGACGTGATTGGGTGTTTGGCGGGAAAGTCCCCGAGCAGCGCCCGCCTCGGGCTCCCGGTCAGCCTTGTGGGCTCCCGGAGAAATGTTTTACTTTGGCAATAGGCCTTTTAAAATTCTAAAATCTATGTTCTTCCAACGCTTTACAGTACCCACAGAGCACTTTTGAATCGAGTTATGCCTTAATTATTTCACGCATGTTAGGACTTTGGAAAACTGACGCTTGCTGGGTGTAGCACAGAGCAGGGATGGTGAGCCCTGGCCCCACAGAAGAGCACGAGAAAGGGCAGAGACGTTGGCACTCACAGGCCCTGGGGGAAGCCCCTGGCGCTCCGTGAGGGCCACGCGGGGAGGCACAGGCGGGGTGCAGACCGCAGCGGCCGGGTGTGAGCCTGTGTCCGGGGCTGGGGCTCCTGGACCGGTCAGTTCACACTCGGGAGTGCGTCTCGGGAGGCCTGGGGGGCTCTTACCTAAGGGGCACGCGAGGGGAAGACGCCGGGAGGCGGGGCGGCGTGCTGGGGAAACCCTGTCCGGAACTTCTGTCGCTCGTCACCCTGTGGCTGTCATCGGGGGCGTGCGCTTGCCTGAGGGGCCCGTGTCCAAGCAGGGCCCCCGCGCGCTACTTGAACGAACAGAATGATCGCCGACAATGCCCCAAGGAGAACGCACACCTTCTGAAGGGCAGCCACCAGCCTGCGTGGTGCCGGCTCCGGGTCCTCGCGTGTCCTGGGCGGTGAGAGTGTCGGCGGTGTGAACGGGCGTGGCTGCTGGGTGAGGGGGTCGTGGCAGAGAAGGGAACGTTTGGGCAGAGGTAGCTGTGCGCGGTGGGAGCAGGGAAGGGGCGTTCCCTCGGCCTGTGGTGGTTCTGGCGCCACGTCTGTAGGAGGGTGTCCAGGGTTTTCAGGTGCAGGGGGGCGAAGGGACGGGTTCTCTGGAATTTGCCTTCGATGTCCCAGGCAGAGAAATGAATGTCGATCCACCGAGAGAACGCAAATGCAGCCAAAAGTGATAATCTTGAATCTGGGTGACAGGCACACAGAGCCACGGGCCTGTCCTTGCCACCGTCATGCAGGCTTGAAAATGGCCAGCACTGGGGCGCCTGGGGGGCTCAGTCGGTTATGTGCCCAACTCTTGATTTCGGCTCAGGTCATGACCTCGCGGCTCTTGGGATTGAGCCCCGCCTTGGGCTCTGTGCTGACAGCACTGAGCCTGTTGGGGTTCTCGCTCTCTTTCTGTCTTTCTCTCCCTTTGCCATTCCCCTGCTTGCCCTCTTTCAAAAATAGACAAACACCTAAAAAAAGAGAGAGAGAGACTGAGGTGGCTGCGGTGGGGACCAAGCAGGCCGTCCCTCCAGGTGGTGGCTCAGGGGCCAAGGCGCGGCTCTCCTGGCTGACTCCGCAGAGCCCCGGGCCCGCCCCTCCCCTCCTCCTCCGTGTCTGTGCGCAGCCCTGCGTGGCCTCGAATAGCATTTCTTCAGCTTGCTTCTGCATCTGTGCTCTCTCTCTCTCGCCCAGACTTTGTATAACGTGAGAGCGGAGATACTGCCCCCGTCGGGAATGGAGCACTGTAGGACGGGCTCGCTCTGCTCCTTGGAGGTGACCATCACGCGGCTCTCAGACCTCCTGGAGGTGGATAAGGACGAGGCGCTGACTGAGTCCGACGAGTACTTTTCCACCAAGCTCATGTATGAAGGTAGGTCTGGGTGCGCCCCTTTCTCTAACCATGGGTGCCAACTCATTGCTTGATGGGATGGTGCCCTCCCTTTCTCAAATGTAGTGTGCCTTGTCTGAAGAGAGAATGTTCTAGAATCAAAAAGCTCATTTGCATGTTTCATCGTACAGCATGTTCCTAGGCTGGCAGGATGTTGGACTTGGTTTTTGGGGAGTCATTCTTGCTACGGGTATTTTTGGGCAGTCGCCGGGCTCAGTGCTGAGAACTGGGGCCTCCTAGAGCCGCCGTCCCTCTGCCGGGAGTCCGGTCTTCCCCGACCATGGAAGCAGGGCCGGAAGTCCGGCGCTCAGCAGCCATGCGGCCTGGAGGCCCATCTCTGCCGGCTCCCCTCTGGCCTCCCGGCATCCCCTGCTCCGTCCCCACCTGACGCTGGCCCCCGCCTGGGCTCCCCGCCTCACTGACTCCCCCCGAAGCCCCCTCTCCGGCACCCCCACCTCCCCTGGGGCTGCTTCCTCAGCAGTTCTCTGTGTGAGGTGTTGGGACCTTTTACGCTCTGAAAAGTGGTTGAGGAGCTGAACGTTTCTGTGTTTAGTCACTTAGCAAATAGCATGACATCACATGACCTCATGCTGGAGAACAGCCACTTTCCAACATAAGACAGAGAAGAGGGCCGCCTGGGTCTGACCTCAGCTCAGGCCACGGTGTCACGGTTTGTGGGTTCCAGCCCTGCGTTGGGCTCCACACTGACAGTGCAGAGCCAGCTTGGGACTCTTTCTCTCTGTGCCCCTCCCCTTCTCGTGCTCTCTTACTCTCAAAACAAATAAACTAAAAGAAAAGAGAAGAATGACATTAACTTGAGTCCTTTCAAACCCCTCTGATCCCGGGTTCCACGGAGGCACCCGAGTCTCCCTCTCCGCTGGTGCGGCTCCGTGTCATGCCGGCGGGAGCACGGGGAGGCTCCAGGCTCGCCGATCTGTGGTCGGTGCAGGGCGGTGGATGGAAGCAGCCTTCTCATGACCGTGGCTGCTCCTCTGTGATACGTCACCAGAGCGGGACAGGGCCCGGGCCTTCAGGGGCCGGTTACCGGCTGGAATCTGAAATCAGGTGAATGAGCTTTCCGTACTCAGTTCCTTTAAATCGTTTCACCTGGCTTGTGGTTTGACTTTCTTTTTTCTTTTTTTTGAGTGGGAGAGGGAGAGAGAGCGAGAGTGCATTAGTGGGGGGGGGGGGGGTTGGGGGCAGTTGGGGGGGAGAGAGAGATGGAGAGAGAGAGAGAGAGGGAGAGAGAGAGAGGGAGAGAGAGAGAGTCCTGAGCAGGCTCCATGTCCAGCGCAGAGCCCAACACGGGACTCTGTCTCACAACTGTGAGATCCAGACCTGAGCTGAAGTCAAGAGACAGATGCTTAGCCGACTGAGCCCCCAGGCGCCCTGGCGTCTGGGTTGAAAGCTCTCCTACCCAGGCAGCATGTTGTGGCCCCCTGGCTCAGTCACGTGGGAAGCGTGCTTCCTGCCGGATGCAGATCTTGCACGTACGTAGTGTACCGTCTTGTTGCACAGTATCACACAGCCGCGTCCACTTCCAGCTCCCGCTGAGCTCCTCAGGGTGGCCTGGGTCCCGGCACGCTGCCAGGATCCCAGTGGCAAGGCCACGTTGTCCAAAATCCTAACTTTGATCAGGGTTTCAGATTGTGTCGGCGGCAACTTTGACGTGACAGGCTCCCGCCGTTCATTTTCGAGACAGCATCTGCCAGATCCCCCAGACCCGAACGGCTGCGCTGATGCAGCCCCGGTGGCCTGTGCCCGGCGCCTGTGTGCACGAGGCCGAGGGGGCGCGGACCTCTTTTTAATGTTTTGCAACTCCTTGTGAGTCTGTAACCATTTCGAGTTAAAGTTAAAAAAATGTTTGCTTAAGGGTTGCATTTAGTACAACTAATTTTGACTGCTTCGTGAAGGACACGCTTAAGTAAAACTGGTGGTTTTTATCCCCAAATGTGTGGCGTTGAGGGGCCCGCGGCCACGACTCTCTGTGCACTGGGGCCTCGGTTCCCGCTCGGCCCTGCGGTCCTGCCCGCCTAGCGCGCAGGGTGACACGGGGGGAAAGGCGGGAGTGTGAAGGCAGCGTTGGCCCCGTGCTGCCCTGGGGACACACGCGGAACCGCTCCCACGTGTGTCCGTCCCACATGCGGCTGCAGCCTCTGCGTGTCCTTTGGTACCACTTGTCCCCAGAAGCCCCCACCCCCATCTGTAGGCAGCCTGCCCTCTGCTGCCCCTTGGCTGCTTGTGAAGCTTCTAGTCCTTGAACCTTCTGGGCTCCTCCTTCGTGTCCCCTTACAGAGGGGACTCTGTGACCTCTCTGCAGAGTCATCTGCTTCTTGAAGACAAGGCTCCTATCCTGTTTACCTTTGAATGCCTGCCCAGCTAAGTACTTAACGTTGCACTCAGTGGCATCACGTTTGTGCTGTGATGGTGCTGATAAAATGCCGTACGCGAAGGCTCCCCGATGGTGGAAGTGCCCTCCGTGCGTCTCTTCCCCTCCCGCCGGGAGGCTGCTCTGAGCGGCAGAGCTGGGATCGGGACCCTGGTCTGATGCCAACCACGTACCAGCCGAACTGGCATCCTGCCCTGCCCGCTTCCAAGTTTACTGGCCGGGACGCCCACACTCTTAGGCCTGATGCACACAGCTGTCACGTGAGATGGAGTCGCTGTTCATTTATTAACTTGAGAAAAAAGTGGTTTTCCCTGTGCGCCTGACATGTATTTTAGTTCTTGAGCCATATGTGTTTCACGTTCAGGTGCAGCTGGGAGATGTAAGGTATAGAATGTATCTGGTTTGGGACCTTACGCTCTGGAGTGGGGGGACTGTCGATGGCCTTATTTTGCGGTGGATGCCGATGCTCTTACCGGGGAAAAACCGGTGCTCTCCATCTGCGTTTCAGTGGTCGACAACAGTAGCAATTGGGCGGTGTGTGGGAAAAGTTCTGGCGTCATCTCCATGCCCGTGGCCGCCCGGGCCACTCACCGCGTCCACATGGAGGTGATGCCCCTCTTTGCCGGTTACCTGCCCCTTCCCGACGTCAGGCTCTTCAAGTACCTCCCCCACCACTCGGCGCACTCCTCACAGCTGGACGCTGGTAAGGACTCGAAGGTGGGGCGCGCTCGCTGTGGGAGCGGAGCCGCGTCTGTGCAGGGAGGTGGGACCCTCCGCTCGCAGGGACGGGCTTGCCCTTCAGCCGCGTGTGTTCGGTGGCAGCGGAGCCGAACCAGAAACCGGGTCGGGGTTACGGGCCATAGGCACCTACTCCGACGCTGGGTCCCCTTTAGAGGGTTGCCTCATTTAACGTTGTCTTGCACGGAAGGTCGGCTTAGGCGCTTGCTGCTCCCCGGGCGGGGGCGGTCCCCGTAGCGGCCACCCGCCTCACCTGCTGTGCGTTCTGCAGATAGCTGGATAGAGAGCGACGGGCTGTCGGTGGACAAGCACGTGGACGACCAGCCGGACGGCGGCAGGAGCAGGGCCGGCGCGCACCCGGCCCCCGGCGGCGAGCACAGAGGCCTGCCCATGCCCCGGCTGCAGGCGCTGCCGCCCGGCCAGGTCGTCAACGCCAGCGTGGGCGCGCAGGTGCTGGTCGTCCCCAGCAGAGACGACCACGTTCTCGAAGTCAGTGTCACGTGACCACGCCCTGGGCCAGCGCGCGCCCTGCGCTCGGAGGGGTCCCGGCTCCGCTGCTCCCCGTCGCCACATCCTAGCGCTCACCAGCCTCCTGGGGTCCTGCCTGGCCTGGGCGCGTCCGGGAACGTCCGTGCGCGGCGGGTCGACTGGGTTACGACGTCATCTCTGTGTTGTCAGTGGTTATTTCTTTTTCCCTCCCTGTCCCTGTGCTGGCGCCTCCGGTGTTTGCCTAGACCCCACCCCCGCCAGCCCCTCCCTGTCGTGGAAGGTCTGTGCCCTGCTCTGTCGCCCGGCGGCCTCCCCGTCCGCTGGTTCCTTACTCAGGCCGTGCGCCTTCCAGGGAGACACGCGGCCGCCCTCGCCGGCTCAGCAGTGACCTGTGTGTGCCTCTCTGGGCGCACGGCTGCCCTCTTCCTGGGCCAGGTGGATTTGTAAGTCTCCTGCGGGACAAAACACCGTCCTTTACCCTGCTGAGTTGTGCTATTCTAGAATAACACCCTTTGAGGGCAGGTCAGCGAGGCTGAGGGCTGGGGTGGGGAGGGAACAGAGCCCCTCCTGGAGCCTCCATTAACTGGAGCCATTTTAAGGTACTTTGGGGAGACTAGACCAGGGCCTAAGGGACAACTTGGTATTGAAATAGTTTAGGAATAAACGTTTCTGGAACCCCTTTCCCCCATGATATTGATTGAATATCATATGCACTTGGAATTAAATATGTATTTATTTTTATTATCATATATGTGGGGGTTGATATGTTGTTTTCTTCTCACCTTTTGAGTCTTGACATGTCATCGTCACTGTGTAATCAATACTTTTCTTTTGCACCTTAAGTCCTAGAGATTAAGAGGCCCCAGTGGGGCCTGGAGGGGCCCTGTGCTTCTAGCCTGGTTGTGGGAACGACGGAAGTCTTGGAATGTTCTCTGCTGGTCCACTAAAATTGCAGTCATAACCGTTACCAATGGATTAATTTGCTCTCGGTTGTAAATTTAATTGTATATATGGTTGATTTATTATTTTTAAAAGTATGAACTAACGGATGTAAGTTTATGTAGAAGTTGCACCAAAAATCAAGGACAAAATAAATGTGTGTTTGTTTTTACTGGTGTGAGAGTCACAGCTTGTAAATAAGTGTTGGCTGTATGAACCCTTTTCCAGCTCGCCAAAGCAATGTATTTTTGTACGTAAGAGATAGAGAACTCCTACTTCCCTGGGAAAGCGTGGTCGGAATGGAGCCCGAGCAGCCTGGTGCAGAAATGGGGTGCAGTCAGGCCCAGAGGGGCGGCGTCACGTAAACAAGCCGGAGAGAAGAGGGGCCTGCTTGTCACCTGCCGGAGGAGGCTGGAGGAGGCTGGCCTTGCGGGGCTGGGGGCACTTGGGGCGGCGGGGGAGAAGGGCAGCTCAGAGTCCTTGTTCCCGCGCTTCTGTGGCTGGTCTTTCAGCTCACTCGGCAAATAAGGTGGTGTGACTCCCACGCGCCCCACCCCGCGTCTTTTCATTTACAGAAATTGGAGCCGTGTAAAGAAGATCAATATTTGTGAGTTTAATTAAACTTTTCAGAAATTCATCTTCCCTAGGTGCACTTTAAAACTAATCAACTTGATCAACTAGTTAGGCAAATTAAAACTTCAGAGTCTAATGAAAGCTTAAGGTTTCTAAAATAAGTTCATTTTGTTGTAAAAATTGACAATTGTCCTAAAGATCTGCCAAGCCCTGTGGATGAAGAGATGTTTGAGATGTGATTCCACCAGAAACACCTCGCGTGGTCAGTCTCGGAGCCTCCGTGCCTAATGCGGCTTTCACTCTACCCTCTGGAATGGGGGACGTGTGATTCGATGATTACCTTATTTCTGTTTGAGTGTGTGTGTGTGTGTGTGTGTGTGTTCTAATCCCAGGATGAAATTATCTAATTACATAATATATTTAGAGGGAGAAAATGAAGGGGAAATCCAAAATGTTCATGGGCTTCTTACTGTCCTCAATTTGTATGGGATAAAATTTATTGGAGGTTTGGTTCCCCCCCACCCCCCGCAATTACCCAAGAGATCTGTTGCAACCCGTTACAAGGGTGCCTCTGTTTTTATTTTGTTTTGTTTTACACAAAAGAAAAATGTCATCTAAACCTTTTTTTTCTTGAAGACAGTAATTCGATTTTTATTGTGTTTAAAATAAGGCATATGTGTTTGCGACAGGCTGGTTTTGTTAGTAAAGGTGTAGCAGCTGTTAAATAATCGTGAAGCCGGATATGGAATGTGCATCTAAAAAGCAGAATATGCAGCCGTTTTACAAATCTCTGTGGAACATGTAAATACTAGCAAGTGGAAAAGGAAATAAGTTATAATTTTGGTGAATTTCATGGGGTTTCCTATGACTGGAAAAGTTATAACTTCTGAGCTAATGTGGAAATTGTTGTATTTAATCTGAAAATGACTATTACCTACAGTCCATTGTCAGCACAGCCGGTCGTGGGTTGGATTCTTACATTAGGAAATCTTGGTCGATATCCCATAGTTAGTAGAGAAAATACACACAGGCTTCTGTCCAATTCTTCCTTAGTGTTTAAGATTGAGTTATAAAATGAAACACTCTGGATGTGTGCACTAAATGAAAAGTATACTACTTTTTAAAGAACCAACTACGCTGATCTGAGTGGTTTGCAGTCAATGTGATCTTTAAAATAAACCCTACATGATTGTGGAATTTGATTTTTCATGAAAGTGCCCCCTTTCTCTAAATTTATTCATCATATATGTCAGGCTGTAAGACCCTAAAGTATCATTAATACAATTTGCTGGGATTCCGTGAATGGAAAAGGTGGCAAGCTGGTGACTTTGACACTGCAGGTATTAATTCCATTTTCATGGTTTACTACGAGAGTCATTTTTCACATTATTCTGTAACATATTGTTAGACTAAAACCATTGTATTAAGACTGTTTAAAATGTAAGCATTATAATTCTGAAAATACAGATTTTAAGAAGAAACTTTGCTGTTTTGAACTTCATTCTTTTGCTGAGGAGCAGAAAGTTGAGCGTGTGAAGTTAAAGAATTTTCTGGTGTTCTCTCCCTAATCCTTGTTCCTGACTCGAAGCATAAATTATTTGCCTTGTGGGGAGCATTAGGGATTTTTTTCGTAATTCATTACCCAATAGCCCACAGGAACAAAGACATTTGAGTCTTCAGGGCTTGGGTTTTTGGTTTTTATTTATTTTTTTTTTGTAAATCTATCTGCCAGTCGCGTTAACTGTGACGTTTGGGTAGCATCGCTAGTACAAGTGTTTTAGTTTACTCAGCCTCCTTGTTTTTGGTCTCCCCATTCATAATGCAGAGCTTAAATAAGAAGTGCCTCACCCACTCAGGGTGTGAGCCTTCTGGGCAGCGGCGCCAGCGGGCCCAAGGCCAGAGCCCCAGCCCTGCTCTGTGCCCGCAGGCGCAGGGCTCCGGCGCGGGGGGCGGGGCCTGCAGACTAGAACGTTGTCGGGAAGGGGGCGGGGCCCGCGGGCTGGGACTCCGCCTAAGGGAGGAGCAGGGGCGGGGCCTGCGGGCTGGGCTCGGCCTGGGGGAGGGGCTGGGCGGGGCCCGCGGGCTGGGACTCCGCCTCGGGAAAGGCGTGGGCGGGGCTCAGCCTCGGGAAGGAACGGAGCAGGGCCTTGGGGGAGAGGACTCTGCCGGGGTGACGGCGTGGTTCTCGGGCTCCGGCTCCGCCTCGGGGAGGAGTCGGGGGTGGGGCCCAAGTGCTGGAACTCCTCCTCGTTGCGAAACGGGAACGGGCCTGCGGGCTGGGACTCCGCCTGGGGGAGGAGGGGGCGTGGCCTGCGGGCTGGGACTCCGCCTCGGGAAGAGGGGGCGTGGCCTGCGGGCTGGGCTCCGTCTCGGGCGGCACCGTCCCTCCCGGTCGCCTGGGGGCGCTGTGGTGCGGCGCCGCGGCCATTCCCGGACGCGCTCCCGGACGCGGAGGTAGCCCGACAGCACACGTGCGGTGGCCGCGATGAAGTTCGCGTACCGGGTGAGTGAGGGCGCGGGCCGGGGGCCGGGGGCCGGGGGCCGGGGGCCGGGGTGGGCCGCACTGTCTCTCAGCCTGCAACCTGCGCGGCCGGCTCGGGGCCGTGGGCGGAGGTTCCGGAGCCGGACGGAGAGGCGGGCCCCGGCCCCCGGGCGGCAGGTGTGGGCCGGAGAGGACGGAGCCCCAGCGGGGTGAGCGTCGGCGGGCAGCCGGGACTGAAGGCCTGGCTCCCGGCCGCACGCGGGCAGAGGAGCCGCGGAACCGAGCCCCGGGACGTCCCCTTCGTCTTCCTCCGCAGTCGGGGCCGCTGGAGGCTTACCGCGTCCACACCGCGTGGGTCCCAGCTCTTGACCGTTCTTCCCCCTCCTGCCTGGTCGCGTGACTCTCCCTGCGTCGTCGCAGGCCCTCCCCGGCGTGGCCCGGCTCCGGCCGCAGCGCAGGCCTCTGCGCCACCCCGCGCTTGCTGGCGCCTGCCGCTGGGTGCTCTCTTTCCCTGCCACCCAAACCTGGAGGGGCTGGGTGGCCCCCGTCATCCGCTGTCTCCATTCCTGGTTGGGACAGCACCACCTAACCACCTGGCTGGCCTCCCTGTTCCTGCTGTGATGAGCACGGGCTCAACAAAAGGCAGGGGGCTGGGGATTGGACCGCAGCCTTCCTTTGCTTAAAACCTTCTCAGCTGACTCAGCTGACCAGGCTCCTTCTGGGAGCCCCCCGGGCTAAGGGGTTCTGTCACTGCCAGGCGTTGGCCCTGCTGGCTCCGTCTCTCCAGGCTCTGGTTCGGGCGGCCCCTCCAGGGGCCCTTACTATCTCTTTCTCTGCTTTGGAAGCGCTGCACTCGCTCTGTAATTACTTCTTCGGCGCCCCGCCCCCTGGACCTAGACTCTGGGGGCATCAGGGCACAGACCCCGGGACAGCAGCGTGTCCAGCGAACACTTCAGTTTGATGACGAATGAATCAATTAATAAATCGGATCCCAGCAGGTTACTTTGTTCAAGGCGCCCTGAGCCCCAGATGCCTCTGCTCTAGATCCGTTACTGTAGGTCTCCTCCTCCTGAAACGTGGGTCCAGTTCCCTCTGCACTTGGCAAACGCCTTCTGCCCTCGTAGGTGTCCCAGGCGCTCCCAGTGCCCCTTACCCAGGTCTGCGGGAGCTCGGGCCCCTGGGGTCGGGCTCACTTTGGCTTCCTCTCTCTCGCTCGAGGCTGGGCTGCACGGGGGGGCCAGCAAGCTTCCCAGGGGACGACTGGAGGGACCCCAGGAATGACCAGGGACTTGAGGGGAGCAGGGAGTCTATGCTGTCTCCTTGACCGGAGAGAGACCTCGCTTAGCCCTTTCCCAAAATGGAGACATTGTGTACTTTTTGTTCTATTAAGATGGCTTTATTTTCTTTCCAGTTCTCGAATTTGCTGGGGACGGTCTATCGGTGTGGAAACTTAAATTTCACATGCGACGGAAATTCAGTGATTAGTCCTGTGGGAAACAGAGTGACGGTGTTTGATCTTAAAAAGTAAGTGTGCTAGAAGACGTTGACAGCAGTGACCGTTGTGGTATGTGGGCCTTCCGTCGCTGGTGCCCCCGTCAGGTGCCGCGGCCCGAGAGCCTGTTCCAGGGTGTGCGTAGTGTCAGCGGGTCGGGTTGGTGGTGGGCCTGGTTTGTTCTGGTCCCTCGGCTGAAGCCCGACACCTCGGCGGTTGACCTCACCTTCAGGGCAGAGCCTGCTGGGCGTGCCGTCCTCCTCCCGGACGGGCGGACGGGTGGACGGGCGGACGGGCGGACGGACGGGCAGGCGTGTGGCTCTGTTTCTTCCTTCACCTCAGTGGTTGTCACTGTTTCCCAGACTTATGTGGCCAGGGTGAGACCCTCAGGTCGCCGGGGCTGCCCAGGTCTCTGTCCTGCTCTGCAGGCCTCAGCTTCCCTATCTGTACAGTGGGGCGATGGTCCACACCTCTGCTGGGGGTGACTTCCTGAAGCCCCCGAGAGCATTGCTTGTGGGGGGACTCAGGGCCAAGTGCAGACGTGACCATCACAGCTGCCGTTGCGTTTAAATGATGTGGGGGGCTTGCTGGAGCAGGGAGTGCATGCTTCTCGGAGGAAAACTAGGAAGTAGGACGGTAAGGAACAGAGTTAGACCCTAAGCAGTGGTTACTCGTTTTGAACGTTGCTTACTTTTCCGCGTTTGCGCATTTCCCCACCCAGGGAGAACGGTTCTGCGCACGAGTGCCGACCCTGTGGTTAATCTCCTCTGTTAACGTGTAGCTCGTTTCCAGTTTCCTGACTTTACAACATCTGTAGAATCTTCTCCAGATGCAGTTATAGGAACAGAATTGACAAATCAAAGCCCGTATTTAAGGCCTTTAATCTGCTTTACCAGCTGTTTTCCAGGGACCTGGTCATCTTCCCGCCTCTCCAGCCAGGAGCTCTGGCCCCGGCGCCAGGAAGGGACAGGAAGGGGGGGGGAGGGGCTGAGGCCGACCCCACTCGTCTGACAACTGAGACCAACAACACAGCTCTGGTGTTGTTTTCTAGCAACAAATCCAGCACTTTGCCCTTGGCCACTCGGTACAATGTCAAGTGTGTCGGGCTGTCCCCAGACGGCCTTCTGGCCATCATCGTTGATGAAGGTAAACGCCCTTGCCTGGGAAGCAGCGGCTCTGGTGGTTGGGATGCATGGGCCACCACCCTGTCCCGCTGGGGGGTAGGCCTCCAGGTCCTCCTGCCTGCAGCCCACGTGGGCTTTGGGAGGAGGGCGTGGGGGGAGGGGACACAGCCGCGCCTGGGTGTCCTCCTGTCCGGGCCGACGGCGCATCGGCCCCTCCCTTCCTGCAGGGGGCGACGCGCTGCTGGTCAGTCTGGTCTGCAGGTCTGTGCTCCACCACTACCACTTCAAGGGCTCCGTGCACAGCGTGTCCTTCTCTCCTGACGGCAGGTGAGGGCCTGGCGCAGACTCCGGGCCCTGCATCGTGGGGCCCAGTGGGGCTCTCCCGACGGGAGGCGGCCGCGTGGGAGCCTGTGCTCAGGCCTCGCTTGATGCAGGTCGCGGCCACAGCCCCTGCTCCCCCTGCTTCAGGGCTGGCACTCCCACCCTGAGCAGAAAGTTCCAAAGGTCCTCATTCAGAACAGCCTCCAGAGCAGTCATGGTCCTCACGAGGGTCCTGTGGCCTCTGGAAAGCACAGCCATAAAGGGGCCCCTGGCTCTGAGTGGTGGCACTGACCCCCAGCCTCGACGTCCCCAGCCTCGCTCTGGGTTCAAGGGCCACAGGAGAGGGCTTGTTCCCGGCTTGCTCACACCCAGGCTGACCGGATGTGCCCAGGAGGGGGCCGCCTGCGTTCCAGCTGTGAGCTCCCGTTCCACGTCCACACCCAGAAACCCCTCAGACCGGCCTCCAAGGCAGTGGCCACTCCCCAGCTCCCGTCATGCAGGGCGCTGTCGTCCTGCCGGCCCCCAGGGCGCTCTCAACGTGGCCTGGCCGTGGCCTGTCCCCGGCTGGCAGGAGAGCAGAGGGGTGGCAGCGTTCAGGGTGCCTGCAGGGTCTGTCTGCCTCTCCGACTGTCCACCTGTCCTGTTTGGCCTCAGTCCCTGCAGGAGGCGAGGGGCCTGGGGGCCGTGGGGAGGCGGTGGGGAGTCCGGCCCCTGCGGTTGCCTCTCATAGGAGATCGTTTCATAGCAGGTGCGCTGTCCTCGGAGGGTGGGCTGGTCCCGGAACCCCAAGGGTGTTCTGTATCGATGGCTCCCTTTTCTGCGGCAGGAAGTTTGTTGTCACAAAAGGCAATATCGCTCAGATGTACCATGCCCCTGGAAGGAAGCGGGAGTTCAATGCCTTCGTCCTGGACAAGACCTACTTTGGGCCGTACGATGAGACCACGTGCATCGACTGGACGGACGACTCGCGGTGAGGCTTGCAGGCGGGGCCTGACCGGACACCTGGAACTGGCCTCTTGCTGGGTGGGGAAGCCTGGTGACTCTCATCAGGGCCCAGAGTTT